CTATAAAAATTTCATCGAAAAAATCATCTTGACTGATGAGGCCCATTTCCATCTCGAAAGCTAAGTCAATAAGTAAAACTGTTGCATCTGGTGCTCGGAAAACCCATGATTTATTGTTAAGAAGCCTCGCCATCCTCATCTAGTAACTGTTTGGTGCGGTTTATGTTAAGACAAGATAGGTCCCATGACCCCTCCTATTCGAAAGTGAATGGATTACGCTATCGAAACCGTCGATGTTTTTTTGAAGATAGCTTTTCCTTCTCTTTGTAATCACGTTCGCCTCACGGTAGGGAATGACAACCCCTTCGAGTGAATTTCTGACATGAAGCGAAAACCACCTCGTGAAAAATTAAAATCCAACAGTTGTTCGGAAACGACGTAGAAAAAGCTGCAGGTCCCTCCATCGGTTGGTAAAAAATATGCTCGACACAAACAGGCGGAGTAGCTCGGTCGAAAATTGCTTTAGCGATCAATAATAATAATTTAAATTTAAATCAAAAATTCGTCTCACATTCTTTTTTTCTATTGGCTCACTATTTTTATGACCTCTTTACACATTTTGATTCTTCCGTATTTACCTTATCAAACCAGGCAGCAACAGAATCAGCATTCAGTGCACAATTGATAAAAGGGCTACCCAAAATTGATTCATCAAAATTTAGTAGGAATTTAGTGGCGTTGTGACTAAGGTGGTATGCCTCAATAATACCTCTTAACGCGTGTCATAAATAAGATTTATTCATATGTACATTCTTAGAATATATTTTAAAGTTACACGGCAATTCTTAAAACCGTTTCTCGGAACGTACTTAGTACCTGTTACGGGTTTGCAACGAAAACATTAGATCCAGTAAAAAGTAAGCCATTATTTTTGTATTAAATGGAAAACTTTATTTGAAATAGTTAAATAAATAGGATTTATGTCAAACATTCACTGTTATGCACGCCAACTTCGCAAGCTTTTCTTGAAGCCAATTCTTCACCAGCCAAATAATTCGCCCTCGACAGGAACAGGTGGTAATCATTTGGTACGAAGTCCGAACTAGATCTAATATATAACACTTTAATACAACATTTCATTCATATCACGTGAAGTTCCCAATTTTTAAAACATGCAGATTAAATTATATTATTATTATGTACATGCATACGAGGTGTGTTCAAAAAGTAAGTGACGTTATGTTGCTACCCATGTCTGTCACTTTTGCCGACAAGCTCGGCCATTCTGAATGTTCACTCAATTGTTGAGAGCTGCTCTGCTTGCACGTGTTTTGGATGGTCTTCGATTTTTACCTATTCAAAAAAAGGATCAAAGAACCTGTATCAAATTTTGTGTGAAAAATGAAATTAAGTGCGCGGACTCATTCCGAATGTTGACTGTGGCATACGGAGAAGCTACCTTGGACCGAAGCAACGTTTATCGGTGGTACAAAATGTTTTCAGAAGGCCGAGAAGATGTGAACGACGAAGAGCGTACCGGACGCCCGAGCACTTCAAAAACAATTGGCCAATCGTCGAATCACCGTTAGAGAAGTTGCTGAGGACCTAAACATATCGATTGGCTCATGCCTACGATCGACGAGATTGAAAAACGGCATCGAAGGAGGACCTGAACAAGATAAAAAAAAAAATGATTTTTTGGAGTGCTTCGAAGATTGGAAAAACCGTTGACGCAAGTGTTTAATATCTCTTGGGAATTAATTTGAAGGAGACAAAATATATATTCATGAATAAATAAATAATTTTTGAAAAAACACAAAATTCGCGATATTTTTTGAACACACCTCGTACATGCTATATGCGCAGGCAACTGAGATTTATTTCAAGTGAAAACAAAAAATAATATATATTCGGAATTCTCTGCCGTATATCAGTTAATGGTTTTGAAGATTTATGAAGCCACTTGAAGCCGTTGTACCAGTCGAATGATCCAAAAAAGTAAGTAACAGTTTTAAACTTTCGGATTATGTGTATGTTATTTGTAGTACACCTGAATGTATATAAGCATATAAATCAGTTAATTATTGTAGATTTCACGTCACTTTTCTAATACAATCACAACTAGTAATCTGGAACGATGAAGATTGCTGTAACGTTGTGGAGAGAAAAGCCGCTGCCTGCCTCGCAACTTCACGATACCGAGAATTGAATAGGGAAGAAAGATCCAAGCAAAAAAAAAACACAAGTGGGTAATGCTCAAAAATTCTACAAAATTATGCGGCTTGCAGAAGAAATGTTTTAAGAACGGAACAAACTTATGTAGGACTCATAGAGGAGGGTAATCTTGCGTATACTAAATTTTTCGCGGGAACATTTCTCCAGCCTGCTGAATGGCAATGAAAATAAATCAACAGGAGATGGCACGCCCGATTGACGTTGGTACTGATTTTGCCCGAATATGAAGAAGCAATCAACCGCATGAAAAATAGCCGATGGATTGCCAACCGAGCTATTCAGATATGGCAGCAAAATACTGAGAACGTTCATCCAACAGATTCTTTACAAGATATGGTTGAATGAAAATATATCCAACGATTTTAACCAAGTATGCTCTGCCCAATCCACAAAAGAGGAAGATCTATCAATATCGCATGTAAGATTGTATCAAGTGTGGGAAGATTAATACTTACCGTCAACGAATTGATATAATTTAATCAGTGTGACTCTAGACCTTTCAAACTCACTATAGATTAATCATGTACCAAATCTCGTAAAAGACCCATGAAAGAAAAGACACACACCACTTCTACGCCGATTTTAAATCAGCCTTCCACAACATTAAATGCCTGACCTGGCATCACTGCAAGACTTATACGACTGTGTAAACTAGCTAAGTTATGCAGTACCCGCCGGCTCGAAATTGGTATTGGCCGCCAAACAGTGAAGGAAAGAAAGGAATAGCACAGGCTTGTTAAGACTTATATACGCCAGAAAAGAAGAAGAGAAGTAATCTAACTTTATGGAAAAAAGAAGAGACCGTGAGATTTTAAGCGTGTGTAGAATTACGACCACGCTCCATTTAATGATTGTCCACACTTAACGATCTACCAATTATCTAGCGCAATTTTGAAGATTCCTCGACTAGTGACATTCAAAAAGTCTACTAAGAATGGTCAATACGGATTTTGGTAAGCAACATTTTTTTCTTAATAAATCTGATGATACAAAATCAAGCAACCCCGCCATTTTGATTTCTTAGAAAAAAACTTGACTGTAAAGAATTTATTATTTATTAATTATAATTATTCTTATGTACATATTTCATTAGACAAGTGATTTTCTGGCCTTAAAACGTTTTTCAACAGTGTTGGGATATCTGACAACTCATAAACCGAAGCATACTTTCAGGCCCTAAATGACATTTGAACTGCACCTTTGCGGGTATGCGCGAGTTTTACAGTGGTTACCTTACAAATAACACATCGCATTTAAAAAAAAAAATTACGATTACTACATACATTAGAGTGACCGTTGGAAATACAATTTTTGCGATGCTCCAAAAATCGGTTTTTTTTTTACAATTAAAAGATTTTTTCAATATCAAACGAAAAAAGCACACACCCCAACCAATTAATTTTTAATAAAATTATAATTTAAGAAAATCAATCAGTAATGATAAAATAGGTGTCATTACTCGACCATGAAGAGGTTCGAATGGCGATTGCCTGCAAAGAGAATGTCAAAACGAGAGTCGATGGTTGAACTTTTCAGTGGCTTGTGTCAGTTAGTTTGTCGGAAGTATGGCCGATGACTGGGGGCTTAAAGTTTTACGGCTGGGTCAACTGACGCTGAGCAAAACCAAAAGCTCCATCAAGATCGGGCAAGATCTCTCCTTACCGTTACGTACCAAGCAAGTCGTAGATTATCACGTCTATATAAGAGCCATTAGCAACAACACTGGCAATGTCAGCCTTGAAATCCAAAGCAGAATCACTTGTGTCCATAGGTTCTACTTTAGATTAGATAAACCATTGAAAAGTTAAGATCACTCTCGGCAAACAAAGTGTTTATTCGTCGTCAATTTATAATAGTAAGAAGAAATAGGTGATCAGATTAAACTATAAGCTTGCTAGAGGTGATCTACCCATCTACATTTAGAAATATTTATTTCTTAATTAAAAGTGCGAAAAAATTTCACTATTTAGCGTCCGGCATTTTACTCCAATGTTTGTATAAAATTGGTTCAGTTCAACTGGTGGACTCTATCGAGTTTCGTTTGGATGACATGTGGTCCATGGTGTTATCAAATACACCACATACGACACCAGCTCTATTGCTACATGCCTAGTTGTGTCTCTAGTTTAAAGAGAATGGCAGTTCTCTTCGCAAATCGAAAGTCTTCGACCTTTAGTCTTTGCTGATTGAAAGTCCTGCATCATTTCTACGCCAAGTAAAATAGAATCTGGTTGTTGAACACCGAGGATTCGAAGGTTACACGGTTCCCGAGGATTTTCTGTTCTTATTATGCTCTGCCAGACCTGAATTGAAGTCGTGCAATGGCAACAGGTAATACTCCATGAATAGTTCTCGTCACATGTTTTGCACTCTTAAAATTAGACGACTTGGAAAGAAGAGTTCTGTAAGAACTGTGACACACTGGTAGGCATTGTAAGGAAACATAGCAGCTGCAGACAGTAGAGCTCAAGATTTTGTTCGAACATTTACGAGCTGCTCGAGTATTTGAGCAACGAGTGCTCGCATAATCGTTAAATGATCGAGCATTACTGAGTACTTTGAATAAAAAAATCAAGCTGCTCACAGTGCGGTGTTTGGAGCTGTTGCAAATAGTGACTTCGTGAACTTTAGGAACTTTCCAAAACTTCATCACGTTTACATTGAATTGGCTATGTGTGTCCTTCGACCAGAACCTACAACCTATATATACACCCTGATAAAAACCCCAAACCCTGACAGCTTTCTAACAGTACCTTCAATTTAGTACAATAGAGTATGAACATTTTTTCTTAGAGAGAGCAGAAGAGAGAAAGAGAGAGAGGAACTTTACTTTTTGTACATATGTATGTAGTATGTATATAATGTTTAATGCACAGAAACAGTTACTTGACTATTTTTTAATTTTACAAAGCATTCGCAACTATTTTCAATCGGTGCCATAGTATTGGGCGTTGTAGGAGAAGCTCAAGGTCTGAGAGGCCTCCAAAACAATGGAAATGAAACGTTGACCAATACCGCCAGCAACAACATAGGCGTTACCATCATTGCTATCCTGTTGGCAAACAATTTCCACATAAGTGATAATACTGCCGGCGCCCGCTTGGGGATAAGTCAACTGGATGGTCACATCCTTCTCTGCATCATAATTGAAAGCATCGGCAGCCTGGGCGACCAAGCGATCACCTAATAAAGAGTGTAGAAGCAATAGCAATTAGAAACTGCTTAGGAAAATATTAAGTGATATCAAGTGCAAACTTAAAAAGCCAATTAACAATTAAGTTTCGCCGGTCATTTACCTGATACACGCGCATTCAGCGTGTAGCGCACAGTTTGCGTTCTCCCCTTGCCGCTGTCTCTCTTCAGCGGCAACAACGTCAAACCTGGATGATTCTTCTTGAATTCACTGATATCCTCAACAACCGTTATATCGCGCAAATCTTCACGCATTATACCGCTACCACTAACATCCTTGACGACAGCGCAATTGACGACGCCGATCGCCAAGACAGCGAACAGGGCAATGGAAGCCAAAGAGATTACACGTGAAGCCATTTTTAGTACAAAAAAAAATATTTTTTATTTGAGTTTGCAAAGAAATATATGGAATATTTCAACCGGATGTGACACCGTTAGGAACTCTTGCAGTTACAATTAATAAATGGTGCTAAAAATGCCACAAACGCAGTTATTTATACCACAACAACGAGTAGTCAACCACAATAAAAAGTAACAAATAAATAAAAAAAAAAACATAGAAAGTCTTATCAAATACAACAAATGATAAACATTAAACACCGCGGCGTTGGGAGCGCAAGTGCGGGGGGAAAATTAGTGAAAAAAAAAACTTACAATACATTGCGGAACCAAAAATAGCAAAAAAAAAATATTCAAAACAAAATCACAATTTCAACTAAAATTATTGATAAGTGCCGCATCGTCAGTCGAAGCGATAAACATCGTAATATCGAAATAATAATATGCCGTACAAATCAAATTTCGACAAGTGGGCGCTGCAGCCGTTGGCGGGGTAGTGTTGTTGTGGAAAAAAGTGTTAGCCTTTACATTAAATGTTTGGTACATTAATATGCGCTTATGGATAAAAGACGTGGAGGAAAGCCCATTCGGGTTTGCTTTGAGCTCTGAGTTGAGTTTTGAGGTTATCTAAAGACCATTTGAGGTTAGTTTTGATCACTCTTTAAGTGTTACTTCAAAGAAAAGAAATTTAAAGCAAAAGTACATATAAGTAATCATTGAGATCATTGTATATCATTAAGAAAATACAATACGCACTTATTTAGTTACTTACTAAATTCGGGGTATCTTAAGGGAGCTGGTCTAGAATTTTGAAAAAATGAAAAAAAAATTTTTGTCTTAAAAGGTGCATTAGTGTCTTAGAAATAACATGCCAAAAGATGGATGCCTGCAAAAATGTCTAAATTCTCAAATTTTTCATACGACGGTAGTGCCCCGCAAATATGCCCCGAGTGACCTACAACTTTAAACGCGTTTTGCTCGAAATCAATTTTTTTAAACTGGCCGAAAACATAACTCGAACAAATCTTCATCGATTTGACACTGCATTCGAAATACCGTTCCAAAGACTTACGTAGGATTTTTTTTTATATTATATATTTTTTTTTAGTCTACAATTTTATATCTTTTTTTATAGTGAAAATTATGGAATTTTGTTGAAACTTGCACTTTTTCGCTAAAAAAAAAATATCGAACAAATTCTACGTACGTCTCTTGCTGTTGTTATAAAGAATAAAAATTAATTTTTTGAACCAGTACAAACGAAGGTGTCTACATCTACGACCATGGACCTATAAGAAAAAAAGGCATCTACGGAGAAATGCTGGACAGCGGCCATTTTGAAATGAATTTACACGAAAAACTTTGTATTTGTACCATGAAACCTATATTATTAAACCTATTTCACAGATTTTGGATTGATTCCTTTGTTGAGTCAAAATAAATTCATAAAATATGCCCATTTTTTTGCGCTCTAGACCAGCTTCCCCGCTTAAGCGAATATAGCCGAGTTAACGAAATCCCGCCAGCCGCTTATTCCTATGGCCTAATGGAGCTTATGGAGACATTATTTGCGAAAGTTCCTAACGCCGACTCATCAGATGTAGTTCTCATTCCAGTACCTAGCATGACGAGGGACTTTTATAGTTTGGTCTTTGTTCGTCGAGAGAGGAATATTCGATTAGCACCTGTTGATGAGAGTGATTTCCAGGCAAACATTGCGGTTGGTACGATTTCAAAGTTATGACTGTCAACAGTGGGCTGGGAGTCGAGCTGGTAACACAGTGGTTGTTTTTTTGACGAAGAAGATATGTTGTACTGAATGTTTTACTGGGATACTCATACGTTTAGCTTCCGTATCCAGTCTAGAGTAAGCGCAACTCACAACGCGGTTATTGAGATTAATGACATACTTTTTGGTGTGCGTCAGCTTTTATACACATTTATAGGAGTGGCGGACATGGTAGCCGAGTGGTTAGTATTGCGTACTGCCATGCAAAAACCCTTGGGTTCATATCCTGGTGTCGTACAAACATCCAAAAAGTTATAAAAAATTTTAATTTAAATAATAAATTAAGTTAAATTTTCTAATTGCGGTCGCCCCTCGGCTGGGAATGTCAACCCTTACTAGTATATTTCTGACATGAAATAAAAATGCTCATAAAAAACCATCAGCCGTTCAGAGGCGGCTTAAACATCAAGACGCAAAACCCCAAATTGTAGGAGGAGTTCGGTGGAAAATCGCTTCAACGGTTACAAAGCGCCAATTATATATATTTAATACTACCCAAGAGTGTAATGGGGTGTAGCAATCCTGTTTCCGTCGGCAAGATTATACCCAATTCCTACTCTTGCGTATCGTCGCACCAATTAAATTTCAGATGTGGTAAACTAACAACCCATGTGGAGCCAGTTTAAGTGTTCACTGAGACCAAACTGCAGCGTAACGTTATTGTTACCCTCCACGTGGAGTCCAGCTCCAATGAAACGGATAACTCAGCCTCCGTTGAGAACTTCCAATTTAATCTTTTATATCTGATCTCTTAATTGCGACGGCATACGGAGAAGCTACCTTGGACCGAGGCAACGTTTATCGGTGGTACAAAATGTTCTCAGAAGGCCGAGAACGACGAAGAGCGTGCCGGACGCCCGAGCACTTCAACAACAGACAAAAAAATTAATGAAGTGGAGAAAATGGTATTGGCCAATCGTCGAATCACCGTTAGATAAGTTGCTGAGGACCTAAACATGTCGATTGGCTCGTACCTAACCCTGCGGTGGGGGGGAATTCAATAATTTACCCGGGGTAAGGCATGCCCGTCGTAAGAGGCGACTAAAATCCAATAGTTTCCGCAACAGTCGGGTCTTTATACCGGAGCGACCCAGTTTTTTATCCAGCCAAGGACTGTCACTCCCGCACCATTGCTCAAAAAGTACTTTGGGGAATATTTTTGCGATTACGACAACAACAACACTTGTGACTAAAAACACCGTGTTTTGATAAACGTAAGACATTTCTCGGTCCGTTTTTTAGCTATGAGTACACTTCGAGGTGTAAATATCGTCACTGTCCATTAGCCGAGAATTGTGTAAAACGTCGACGTCGAAAAGCTGCAATCGGAAAGGACAGGCATGCAGTTTTATACTCTACTTCCCCTCCTGCAGGAAATAAGGCCAAATGCTTGAGAATGAAGAGCTTGAAAAGCTGGCAACGACTTACAGACTGGCTAAACTTTGCAGATGTGGTGGCGAAGAGCTGAAAACATGCTTGTTTGGTTTCTTTGCAAAATTTGGTCTGATAGTGCATGCCTGGCGATTGTTATTTTTCATTGGAGTAAAAGTTTCATGTGTTGGGTCGCAAGCCCTTCTTACTTTAGCTCGCCTCCAAACAGATGTTGGTTGACTTCACAGAAAACACTTGCTATAAGGCCGAAAATAGCTAGCTGCTTGAGAACTGGTGTGAACTTTCACACATGGTGAACAACATCCACCTGCCTCCATTTTAGATGCCTTTAAGCCGCTGTGGCTTTGGGATTCTTGCAAAACTTATACGGCTGTGTAAACATTGGAGTCAGTGAAGGACGAGGTTTTAGACATGATGACTGTTTATCATGCGATGTCTTCAATTTGCTGCTTGAGAAAGTAATAAGAAATGCAGAGCTAAATGAACACGGCCCAATCATTTACAAGAGTGTACAACTGCTGGAGTATACCGTGAACGAGGACAAGACAAAATATCTTTTGTCATCAGACAAACAGTCGATGCATTTACGGTTTGGCTCCCACGCCATAACATCGAGGTCATAGATAATTTCGTCTATCTAGGCATCGACCTTAACACCAATAATAATATTAACGATGAAATCCAGCGCAGAATCACTCTTCCCAACAGGTGCTACTTTGGACTGAGTAGGCAATTGAAAAGTAAAGTCCTCTCGAAGCACTAAAACCAAACTCTACAAGTCACTCACCATTCCCATCCTACTATATGGTGCAGAAGCGTGGACGATGTCGACATCCTACGAGATGGACCTGGGAGTCTTCAAAGGAAAAGTTTAGCGACCGATGAGCTGTACGAGTTATACAATTACATAGACATAGTTAAGCGAGCCAAGCACCAGCGTCTGCGCTGGCTAGGTCATGACGTTCGAATGAATCAAAGCACTCCAGCTTAGATGCAGTATCCGCCGGTGGAAGCAGATGAAGGGAAGACATGCACTCCGTTGGAATATTCAGCTGGAGAGCGACTTGCCATGACTTGATGTTTCCAATTGCCGCCAAACAGGGGAGAAGAAGTAGTCTCTTCAATTTTGCTTACAAAGTTCCAAATTATGACAATTTTGATTGGTAATAGCAATTAAATTATTATGCCAATAAAATAAACATTACCCATCAGAATATATGATCAATATGTATGTAATATAAAAATATTATTGTCATAATTCTGTCTTTATTAACTAACTTGATTTGTTTACGCTTATTCGTGAATTTTTATATATGTACATATGAATCTATGTACATATGTATGTATGTATCTGCAATTATATTGGAAGTATCTATAATTAACAAATATTCTGCAATATCGCAGAGACTTCCTCACATCACTCGAAGTGTCTAGAATTAATCAAGAATTAATTATAGAATTTTGAAATTTGTATTTATTTACTATGATTCATTTATGTAATTCTATGAAGAGTTTCTTACACAGTTAATCATAGGATTTTGATTACCGTCACTTATTTACAATCAGTTGTCTTGTGAATTTTATATTATTAAATGAATCATTAATATATTTATTATCTATCTATATTTATGTACGTGTACGAGATATATATATATACGTATGTACATTTGTGTGTGTGTAGACCGAATAGTCAACAAAATGTCAAAAGAAGTTATTGTATAACATCTATCAGTTGTTGATAAGTTTCTGCACTACAAATATTTGTTAAGTTGTGTGTGTTGTTATATATTTACATACATATCATACGTAGTTTGCGTTCATACAGACACTATTTGTAGACCTACATAACTTTTTAAGTGACAATATGTTTCAGAAATGCATACATATGTTTTTCGAACGAGTACCTCAGTTAATTTCGCACACTTTATGAAGACAAAACCTTCGCCTGATAAATTTCACTTTCTAAAATTATACACTAGAATTTATTTCACTAAATTTATTTACTCAAATGCACAAACGTTTATATGTACAAATGTATGTAGGTCGTTTGAGCGAATCAAGTTTTTGTTAAATAATCAACAGGTTGCTCATACGACCCGACAAATGAATGACCCTGCGCATGAGCAACCTACTTGGGAAGCTGTAACGGCCCAGCTATGTACACAAACATAATTTTTGCAAAAGTACAACTGCTTACATACGTACAGATACTTGCCTTTCTTACTTGCGCATTGTTTGCCATATTTGATAATTTAAATAATACGAAAAATGTATAATTCTATTAAAATCATTTATTGCATATTTATCAGACTTAAGTTCTATTTTGCAATTCCTTTAAAAGTATGAAATAAATAAAAATCAATTAAAAATGTGTGTAAAAAAAACATTCACGAAATTGTTTACATATATTTATGAAATATTTTTGATTCGATACATGAACGTTATCATATTTAATTATACATGTACGTACATATGTATATTTACAAGCAGTACAAAGACACATATTCAATTACAAGGATTCACTTAAATTAGATTTTTAATAATAATAGTAGATGGTAAAAGAAACTGGCGTCTGCATAAATTAATACATAGTAATAAATTATAACAATTTGAAGTTAAATTTCGTAAAATTTCCTATGAGTAATTGGCAATGTTGAAGCATTTTTTTTCATTATCTATGTATTTGTAAAAAGAAAATAATGCAAAAACGTTGTAGGGATAGTTGATTAACGCCAAAAAAGTTAGCTGTTTAAAAACCTACAGTTTGCTTTATGTTTTCTTTAGTGTTTAAAACTTAATCGAAAAAAAACTATTTAGCGCAAATACGCTTGGAACGGTCATCGATACAGTAAAATCTTTCTTTCACACAGGCATATGTATATGATTGATTTGTATTTTATAGCTAAATTATTGCTTGTCATTATTTAACCACTCGCATCTTTATTCATAATAGTATATTATAAATGTCCAAAAGCATGTAAAGATTCGAGTATAGTACATACACACATACATAAATATACACAAGCAATGCATGTATAGGTATGTATAATGTATTAAATACCTTTATAAAATCACTCTCTCTCTCTCTCTCGCGCTTACAATAGACAACTATTCTCATCGCTCACTAAAATCATTTAAAATTTCCACAAATTCAACAATTACTTTTCCCTCAAATCGCTCGATGCCAATGAAACCCATGCTAAAATTGCTATCGATTGTTTACCATCGGGGTTTGATTGCTTTGAACCACCACTGCTGATAACCATCGTTTATATCACAATGCGCCAAGATCAGTTGCTGCGATGTCGGATGTACCGCCATACACTTTTTATGTGTACGATGCAACAAGTGTTTTGTATTTTCATCATAATTCCAAGGGCCATCAACTGTACCCAAACGGCATACCGCCAATTTAATGCCTTGCCGATCGGCTTCCACACATCGTTCGCCCACACCTAGCTGACCGGCAGCATTTAAACGTAACAGTTGATTATTACCACCACCATGACAGTGCGACAGTCCCATTATGGCAGGTGGTTGATGACCCATCGAATCGAGACAACCATCTGTAGCTACCGAGCGTAACTCACCCCAGTGTAAATTGGCTGGCAATGCGGGGAATTTATCGTACACATCGTAGGCAACATTGTCCATGAACCACTGGAACGATTTACAATTAAGACGTTTTTTCAGCGCCAGCTGTTCGCTTATATCGCCCATATCGAGGTAACGTGCTAGCGGTTCACGTGTATAGAAATATTCTTTATGTGTATCATCAAACCATGTTTCAATTACACGTTTGTAGTTGATTGTTATCAACGGTCCCTTCTTGGCCTGCGCCAACTTTCCGAAATTGTAGGGCATGAAACCACGATAAACGTGGCCTACACGCGAGCATGGCACCCATTCAATACTGCCGCCGCATTGCCATATTTTGAAGCTCAATTCAAAGTTTTCACCGCCCCAAACCAGCAGGCCGGAATCATAAGCTCCCAATTCCAAAAAGTATTCACGATTAATGGCAAACAGGCCGCCAGCATGTGTAGGGCTGCGATAGGGTTCGGAATTGTGTGCACGTCGACGTTGCTCTCGTTTAGGAACCTCATTCTCCTTATATAACATACCCCATTCAAAAATACCGCGGAAGTGCGCATCATTTCCATACACCGGACGATATTCGAATGTTCTATGATCAATGCCGTCTATAATAGGCACAGTCATGACAGTGCGGTCACGATATATGGGCGCCAGCAGCGGTGGCAACCAATTTGTGTTCACTTCACAATGTGCATCGAGGAAAACAATCACTTCGCCTGCAAGTAAAGATCATAAATAACCGAATTCCAATATATATCTATTTTTGACTTACCCGTCGCTTCTTGTGCTCCTCTAGATCGCGTGCGTATCAGTCCCTCACGTTCATCATTTCGAATAAGTTTTACTAATCCATTAAATCGCTCTAAATATTTATCCAATTTGCCTCGTAGGTCTTGTTTATCAGAAAAGTCATCAACTAATATAATTTCGTGCAGAACATGTTTAGGAGAACGATCGATCACTGAATGCACTGTACGCATGAGCACTGAAAAGCCTTCATTGTGGAAGACAATGATTATACTAGTTTTTGGCAAATCGTACGGATAGTTCCAGTGTTTGCATTCTGGCAAGCGTGTATCGCGCACCGAACGATGCATTGAAATTTCATCGGAACATGCAATGTTCATGCCATATTCCATTTCAGATTCATCCACACGATTCTTTTTGTCGGCAGGAAGTTGATGAGCTTCACCATTCTCACCAGGCCCAGTGCGGACTTCTACATGAGGAGGTTCAAAATTTCCAAGACCTTAAATAAACAAAATATATATTATATATGTGTATGTAATTATATGTTTCAAAAATTTGAAAATAAACCGCCGGCATTCTATGGCTTGTTTTAAAAATGTATAAAAATTACGCTGGTGAGAGAGTTTACAACAATTACAAAAATTGTAAACAAACAAATGTCGTTTATAAAGAATATCTTTGCATAATGTAGCATTATTCAAAATAACGAATAACAGAGTTGAGAGTTTATCGTTTTAAAATCTCTCTCTTCACTGATTTTAAGATATGAATATTTTAGAGATTCACAGCAAGGTCAGATTCAGTCAATGAACTTTAATATAGCCGGCTATGATAATATATGTAATTAAACAAGATTGCAATGTAAAGGTGCACAAAAATATTACTTACCCTCTATCAACTTTGGTAGCTCACGCGGCCTTCCCTCCAATCGCTGATGGTTATAACGTGGAAATTTACCATGATAACTATTTAAACTTCGCTTGGTATCATTCCATGTAGCGAATAGATATATTAGTGGCAATATAATGCAACAGCAAAATACTATTCGGCACACCCGGCCTCCACGTATATTACTTACACGCATTTTATAAATCAATAAGATTAAATTACTAAATTTTTATTTATTTATTTGATATGCTATAATTCCACAGGTAAGCAACATTAAAATCTGTCGACGTGTCGCAATAGCACAGCGGTTAAAACCTACGCTACGGACCAAGCTAAAACCAGTAACAAAACACCAGCTTAGAAACCCAATTAATAAGAAGTTGGAAACTGCACTGAAAAACCGCCACAAATTAATTTTATTTTAACTACTTCTAGTTTTGTACATATACTAAAACGTATGAACCTGAAATTTCGCGTTAAAATATTATTTTATAAATACATTGCTAAAGTCAATTTTTAACAGCTGAATCTACAAATTATTTCCCGTAATAATTTTTTTGTCGCTTTTTTAATATCACTGCGTTGCCAGATAACGCATTCTGAAAAAGTTGTACAACATGAATGTGGTGAAAATATTTGGTTCATAACAACAAAGAACGTATATGTTGTATTCATATACGTTCTTTGATGACGGTCTCGTAAATCAGCTTTTTCAGAAAGAGCGTAAATTGAAGGTCCAATCAGAACTAGCAGAATTATGCTCAAAAAAATATAATGAGTACAATAATGAGAATTTCCATTGTATATGTAAAATGATAAAAACCTATTGAAGATAAATGCAAAGAACGTATATGAATACGTTCTTTGTATTTACGTTCTCTAGATATACGTTCTTTCTTTAAACCTTAAGGATTGACTCACCACACTGCATCCATTCAAAAGGAATTGCAATTTCGAATTTATTGAATTCATTCCAATTGTGATTGAAAATTAACTGGCTGAAAGAAGAAGAAGAAAATACAATTGTTTTCAAATTTTCAACGCACTCCATCAATGGCGCTAAAATATATAAATAAATATGCGTAAAAGCACACAACTTCCACGCACATCTCGGGTTAGTGAGAAAATATATGAATATTATTTGAAATTTGGACAAGATCGCGATTTGGAAAAGTATTTGCGTCTTTATTCGCCATGTGAACACATCAATGATTGCAAGAGTCGCAGTAGTACAACAACTAATAGCAGTTGCCACAGCGAAGATGAAGGGCGCATTTTTAGACGTTTGTTTCGCCAAGAAACGGAAATGACCACGGAAAGCGATTGCGATGTGAAGGAGTTTATAGTACCGATCGAAAAACAAACTGATAATATGACTGATAAACGTGTGAAACCCAAAGAGGATGAGGTGAGCAAAAATACACTTAATGAATATAAATAAGTACATGTATGAATAGAAATAAGTAAACTAAAATGTTGTTCTCAATTTTAATATTTTATCAACGTACAAAGTGTACGGCATCTGCGCCGGATTTAAATACACCGCCGCCAAGTAAAGAGAGAAATACAAACCCAAAGCAAACGCAGACACCGGATTCGGTGGCAAAATCGCATAGAAGATTGGAATGGGACTCGTTAGGCGATGTTGGCTATAAAAAATCGTTGTCAACCAGCAACATAAGTGTTTTAGAACGCTCCGTACTTAGAGAATATTTTCATGAAATTTCTTCAGTTGGTGCTACGAAGAAAGATGATTTAAAGTCACAACCAGCGAAACAAAACTTAGATGGGCAAAAGAAAACACAAAAGGCGGACGATTCCTCAAAAATCCATTTAACCGAAAATAGCAATACACCACCTTTGGCTTCAAGCACAATGATGCAATCGAATACAAATAAAAGCAGTAAGGAGGCTAAACCGCTCACCGAATTAGTATCTAAAAGTACATCTATGTCACTACAAAAACGCTACGACCAATATGTTCAAACTTCAGTGCAGAGACTGCCGCAACAAACATCACGGGAAGTACAAGTTACACTGTCATCTGCAACGTCCGGCACATCGTCTAACGCCGCAGGCACTGCAACACCCAGCAGCTTCGATTATTATTCATCGCGTTCAGCGCAGTCAATAACCGATGGGGAATTTGCAGCTAGTAAAGTGTCTTTAAAAAGCGACGCTGAAAGTAAAATAAAACCAAAAGCGCCTGAAGAACAAATGCACCCATTTGTAGCTGGTATTAATGAGCTGCTTGCCTCCCGTAAGGTTATCAGTAAGCAAAAAGAAAATGAAGTAATTGTGCAAGAAGTGTCGAACAATTTAAAAGAAGCTCTCAATGACAATAAAGAAAATTCGACAACATCCTCAACATTATCAAACTATCCCCAAGTAGATTTAGGCATACAATTGCTTTGTTCCATAATTGACGCGCGTAGCTTAAATCGAAAGCAAAAGACAAGACTTGTACGTGATATTGTGAAGCGCATATCAAGACTTAATGGGAACGATGAGCTTAATAGACAAGAAGTAAATTTGATTTCAACACTTAGTAGAGAGATTTCTGCCGTTCATACAACTGAGAAGCCAAATGTGGAGGCAACACTAAAATCAACTTCGGCTATAACGATTCCAAGAGCAGCCAAAGATTCAATGGACTTGAGTAATTTAGCGCATGCAATGCCTTCAAGTACCAGTAGCGATGAAATTGACGAGCAACTCGTGCAGGTGGAAGGTAAGCATATTGAAAAATCAACATTTACGCCTAGCTACATATGTTATCTAATCATTTTTTAATTTACTTAAGTGCTAAAAAAACCATCGCTGCCCACAACATCAACCAAGGCATTGGCTAAACTTAGAAAAGAAAATATTTCTTATGCAAAAGAGAAAACACACCAACGCATCAGCGCAGGAACTCAAGTTGATATGGAAAATTTACCAACACTTAAGAATATTGCAAGCATTAACACTGACGGAAAATCCAAAAGCCTAAAATCTCATGAAGAAATCTCAAAAGAAAGAGATTTTGCAACACAAACCGCAGATCTTGAAGCCTCTTCTGCGTCTAAAGTCAGCTCCGCATCGAAGGAAATAGTCGATGAAGAAGCTTCCTCTACTTCTAAAGCAAGCTCCACATCTAAGGATGTCACGACTCAAAAGCCCTTAATTAATTTAGAAATTCCTGCTTCGTCTGATACAGAGGCAGGAGTCTCAGCAAATACTACTATGCGCGAATGGTTGAACCCCATGACACAATCCGAAATTGAATATGAACAGAAAAAAGAGGAATTTTCAAAACATGGCGGTAAAAAACAAAAAATAAACAAATGCCTGATTGACAGCCAAAGACTAGACTTGGAAAGAAGAACTCAATTGAAGTGGTTGCAAGCGGAAATTAAACGTTTAGAAACTTTACGTTGTCTGCTATTAAAATCGAATAAAGTGCAAGAAATTTCTCCTGAAAATTTAGTCAAGTTATATGACACGGTTTTCTCCGACTCAAAAACTCCAACAACAACAACCAACTCAACCATAACTACGGCGCAGAGTAGTGAAAGTGACAAGCCGATGCAGGAAATCGAGGTAATAATTGAAGAATCAAATGAAGACGTTATTAAATTAGATGAGAAAATGAAATCTACCAAGCAACGTAAAAGAGAAACACAAATCGTTTACGATAAACCCAACGATGCAGAAAATATATACAACAATTTAGTCGCGGGCAATGCACGATTCCGCACTATGACCGAGACCATTACTAGGAACGAAGAGCAAGTGCTGTCCGCTGAAAATATTACGCTTAATGAACCCGCACCAATGGATCCACCGAAACAAATACCCATAGTCAGCGAACGACCAAAACAACCACAACGACAACAACAACATCAACAACAGCGTTCCAAAATCGACACACCGTCAGGCGAGAGTAACTCCGGCGAAAGTGTACGCTCATTCGCTGAACAGCGAAAGCGGGAATTCTTAGAACAATACCGTAATAAGAAACGCATACACTACGAATCACTACTACACAAACAACAACAGATACTTATACAGCAACAACAACAGATTATACATGAATTGCAGCAGCGCTGTAATACAATAAAACACAACACAACAGTGGCACCTGCAGCGGGACACTACTCTGTACCACATCATATGCCCAAAGCATATTGTCCGTGCGTCTCAGAGCAACAGCCATATCATCAAACATATTATCAACCACAGCATAACGTTGGACCTGCACCCAAGGGGCCGAAAAATGCGCAACCACAATACCCGCCAACCTGCGCACCGCCATGCCCACCGCGTGTCCAGTCGCAACAAGGCGCCGAACTTACCTATCAAAGACAAACCGTACATAGCGAGCAGTCCACATCATCCATTTTTTGCATTTCATCCGAAGTCTCCATACCCATGGGTACAAGCAGTACGACAAGTTCGACAACAACAACAACACATCAGTATGATGATGTCGCAGCTGTTGCTGCGTGCGTGCCAGGCGTAGGCGTGCAAACTGGCAATTCCCTGCGACGCTCACAGCCAATTTTCGGCACGCGTTTGCATTACGACTGCACACAAGCGAACGCACGCATGCCCAATTGGGCTGCCTACGATCCACAACCGGTTTGTTCGGGTCAATCGGTTTGTGTTCAAGTTAAACCCAAAGCCATCGCATACGTTATACAATTTGAGAAGAAAACAACGTCGACCACGACAACAACAACAACAACAACTTCTGCTGCATCCACATCTAACAGTAACTTGATAACAAAACCAAGTAATGAGATCAGTGACTTGAGGGAAGCCGTACCGGAACCTTGCGCCCTGCAAGATTACCTTGAACGAGCCCATCCCCGATTTGTTACACACACCAAGGAGCGAAAAGCCATACTCAATCAAATACAAATGCTACGACAGGAGCGGGGCCGAGAGTTGCGTGATATTATAGAGAATGCCAGTGAAACTTCGTTAGACTCACGTTTGCAACGTTTGCCGCCGCCTGCAACGAGTAAGTGTTCAGATTTTTCGGATAATACAATATATATATATATTTGAATAATTTTTAATATTCTTTTTAATTGCAGAACGTTTGCGCATATTCGCCACTAAGGAAATGAAGGCTATGACGCAGCGACATTGTGAAAATTTACCCGAACTCGTTAAGCGGCATGAACGCGCACGTGAAGAGCGACGTCGACATGGTAATCGTTTAATCAGAGATATCTTTAATCAGGTGCTTATTTTTTCTTGCTTTTATGCTTCCTGCAATTAATTGTTTTCTTATTGTTGTTGTAGCGCTTGCAGCGTCGCGTCCACAGTGGTAAATTGTCCTTGAACCATAGCAAAACCGTTATTTAATTGAAGTGCACTGTTATAATGCACAAACGATATATTTTTTTTAATGAATTTAAGATTTAGCAAATAAAAAATCGAATAAACTGATTAAAGACTATAAGCGAAGCGGTGGGTCCAATTGGAATATGACACAAATAAAATCTTTACCAATATAATTGAAAAAGCTTTTAAAAATAATTAATGTGGAGTTTATGCACAAGCCTATGCCGGTTTTCAAGCGCGAGCACTTAAAATTGATAAAATTAAAACTTAACTGGTTTAATGCTTACATTTAATTTCGTGCTGTAAGCAACTACAAACAACATTTATTTCAGCAACAATCAATATTTGTGGGAACTGTATCGAAAGCATTTGCCAAAAATCGTGAGTTTTTTTTTTTGGTATTTTATTTTTTATTTATTAATAATTTTTATATGTTAGCATTTGATTATACATATTTAAATTTTAATTACATACATATATGTACTGAAGTAAAGCAACATTTTAACATGATTTATAAGGAAGTCAACAGCATTACTCATAGTTATCTTTCACTTTAACAATACTTTCTGCTCAGAGGTTTATACTCAAAAAAAAATAAAATAAAATAAAATAAAATATTAGAAATATAACTCTACTCATTTCGAATGCAATTGCTTAAAATACTTGGAAAATGTAACTTCATGTAATTGGCTCGTAACAAAAAAAAAATACTATAATAATCGATTTACTACGTTTCAAAAAAAAAAAAAATAAACATGAAATTGAAAACTAATTTTCAACTCTCTTCTTTGCATTAATCATTAAGCAATTTTACTGCCAAGTTATATAACATATAATATTTACAAACTGATATTGAAAGAAATTTCACTTCATTTCATTATTTACTCATCTTAATACTATTAATTGAGGCTAAGTTTCTTCGGTGCTTACACCATAATTAGACATTTATAATTTTTGAAAAAAATATGTTTTCTTTTTTAGTAAAAATGCAATTAAGTAAATATATTTTGGCTTGTCTTTTACTAACATAAATAAGCAAGCTTTTCCACGCCTTAACACACATAAATTACTTTCGAGTAATAGTGTTTTTGTTGTTGTTTGATGGTTTTTGAAACAAACAAAAAAAAAACATGAATAAAAAACGCAAAAAATGTCGAAACACTCTTATTAAGGAATTTCATTTCCAACGATAATTTTCTATATATTCCTGAGCAAACATTTTTCTATTTATATTTAATTGCACACAAAATATTAAAGTTTTAGTTAAAATATTATTCCTACATTTCAAATTGACTTAAACTTTAACTTAAAAGTTTTTCTTTTGGAATGTCGATACTTTTTTTTTTTTAGTAAATATCTAAAAATTGAAATACATTATATAAACTGGAAAACAGCAAAAGTTAGTTTAGCTGGAGAGCGTGGAGCTAGTGCGGGACGGTTTGCTCCTAGTGAAATTAACGGTGGATGGTAGCTTGAAGTTGAAGTTCGGAAATGTATCGGTTAATACAGTTAGTAGTCTCAATAGTTTAGATGTCGTTGAATGTATATATTTTCCTTAGCTATATTCGCTTACGTTTTATCAACTATCAAAAATCAATCACATATCACCACGCACTGTTCCTTGTTTTATTTATTAAGCTCCTAAACTCTTCTATACTTTGTATATGTTCAATTTGTCGTCCTACAAATCAATACTATATGTAATTGTTGTTTGCAACGCTCTAAAAACGCTTTTATTATTATCGCAAAAATCATACACTCTATAACCGTCTCTTCTACCATCGTTGTTAACAATTTTTTGTTGGAATCTTGATAATATTGCTTGTATTTATTTAGCAAGTTTAATGCACCAGATTTACGCCATTCTTGTATGTGTGTATGTATGTATTTTTACTTGTCAACTGATAGCGTATATTTTGTATTATTTTTTTATATATATTTTAGTGATGATAAATTGTTATTTGTATTTAACGTATTTTTCAGTTTAACATATTTTCTTTCTGTTAATTTATATAATTTATATTTTTAACATAAATGTTGCTGTTGTGTTAACATATTATATGCGTATATGTATGCACTCAAAAGACATCCTTAAGCTCCACTATCGACATGTTGAATTCTTTACGTAATAGTTACTGATCCTTACAACTCATTCCTAAGAAATTTTCTTCCTCCATTTTTGAGAGGAATTTAATAGCTCTATGCTGCGGCTCCGTCTGTCGTGTCATGTCAATTAGCCCCAACAAGGTCTTGATGCCAATGAATACTCTGCGAAAGAATAGCGAAATGTAAAAAAGAAAAATTAATAATAAAAGTGGAAAAACGAAATTGATTTCTACAGACTTTTTGCCCGCCATCTTCTTGCCAATCGCCTGCAATTCGCCCTTACTAAATATCTCGGCATGTTCAAGCACAGCCAAGACATGTTCGGGGCTGGATAGATTGGGTACGTGTAAACAGGAAGTAAAAGCTGTCAACATTTCCATTTCTTCCAAAACAGCGCTGAAGTTATAAAACAAATTTAATAATTATGCATATATAAATATATATACATTTTAATCATCTCTCGTACCGTCTGCTTGACGTGACCAAAATAAGCAATTTGCGTCCCTTCGGCGGCTGTTTCTTTAACAAGACCAACAATGCTTGTAAAGTTAAATTAGAATAGCGTGGTCCAATCGAACCATAATCCAATAAACGCTCAACATTGTCCACTACAATGCAGCTCAAAGTAGAGCGATAAGCATCATCAAATATCTAAAACCACGAATAAATTATAATTATAATATAATTATTATTATTATTATAATTTCAGTTTCAAAGATTTCCAAATTACCTTGCGTATGTGCAAGCACTTGGCCGATTCAGTATAGCCGACCATATCTTCGGGTGAGCATACTTTAACAAATGGAAAATCAGACATTTTAGCTAACTTAGCAGCCAATGCAGTTTTGCCTGAATTGGGCGCGCCCTCAATGAGCACAGATACCAAACCGGAGCTTTCTGTTGCCTTTGCCTGTTGCACATACAGCATGCCGTCCTCTAGTACACTAGCCACAGGCTGACCCCAGTTGATTATGCCGCGTGATAGCATATTATCGAGTATTTCCTGCGCTGTGCCAAAGGCCTAGTGATTTTGAAGAGAATAACGCTTGAGACGTTCTGAGGTGGAAATTTCGTAAAACACGTAATCTTACCGGTTTTATATCGTTTTCCAGTGCGTGCATAAAGTCGGAACGTGTCACCTTAAGCTTCTCCATAGCTTGTGGATCAACATGTACCTTGGCATCGGCTTTGATTAAACGATTCATTGCGGTGGATTGTGCTGCACGCACTAAACCCTCCAACTCGGCGCCACTAAAGTTCTTCGTCAAAGTAGCAATCTCCCTACTGTCCACATCGCCAGCAATTTTATTGAATTCACGCATACGCTTGGTGTGTATATTCAAAATCTGCACACGACCTTCTTCATTCGGCAAACTAATCTCCATTTGCACTTCCAAGCGTCCGGGTCGCAACAAAGCCTCATCAATCATATCACGTCGATTTGTCATACCAATAACCAATATGTTGTTCAACTGCTCGACACCATCGATTTTGGCCAACAATTGATTGACCACAGTGTCGTGCACACCACTGTTGCCAGCTACCGAACCACGCGCCTTACAAATAGCATCGATTTCGTCGAAAATTATGATATGCAGGCCGCTGTTGGGACCAAGCTGCATGCAGAAAAAAAGATAGCAATAATAAAATATAAATTTTAAAAATTTTTTTTTTTAAATAGACTTTCATTACCCTCTTTTCTTCCTCCTCAGCCTCGGCAAAGAGTCGTCTTATATTTGCTTCCGATTCACCAACGTACTTGTCCAATATCTGTGGGCCATTAACAATTTTTGGCTCACGTGCGTTTAACATAGTGCCAATTTGACGTGCCATCAAGGTCTTACCGGTACCAGGTGGTCCATATAACAATATACCTTTGACGTGCTTACAACCCAATTGTTCAACAAGTTCAGGTGGAAAGACACGTGATGCGAAAGCACGACGGAAAATAGCATTGAATTCCTTATCCAGACCACCAATGCCCATCTTGCCGAAATCCCAATCTGGGTTGATAATCGATTGGCGTACAATTTTTCCTTTAGACTTGCCCTGCAAGTTTAACGAAGAATTTTCGGCTTTCTCAAATTGTACAATTGTATTGCCCAGTATACGCCCAAAGCGTACATTTTTAGTAGAAGTCTCCTTGCCCTCGCCTAGGGACTTGGGATCCACAGCTGGCACAAAGAAAAAACACTATTAAATATTTTCAACTCTTATTTCTGGAATAGTTTTTTTTTTCTTTACTTCGTTCTGCAAATCTTCATTTTTCAAAATTTTTTTTCTGCCAAAATTACCTTCCAATGTCTTAACAGCAAGCCCTAAAAGCTTTTTGCCTTGAAAATCGAAAACCAAGGTCTGTCCAACTGTCAAGGGCATTCCGGCAAATTGCATTAAGAATTCTTTTGCCATTTGGTCAGAGTCGTATGGCTCCTGAGAAGTGCTGTACATGGGATTTTAAAAAATATCAATTAATAAAACCATTATTATTTCTTATTCTTTTGCCTAGCATATAATGAACAAATCAATAATTTTCTATACTGCAACAAAAATACAAATACTTTACATTTTCTTCTGCAAAAAGTCCGTTTCGAATGAGACAAGTGTTATTACATCGGAATTGGCATCAAAACGATATGGTCGCACATCAATATCCTGATTTATGGAAAGTGTAGCCCACTTTCGTTGCACTAACGAAAAACCAACATGACCCCGTGCCACCTCATTGGTATGTAGAAGTGAAAATATATAATGTTGGCCTGGTCCAGGCGATATGTCGGCATACCTGGATTTTTTTTCGCATTATTTCATTATTTTAACCATTAATTTACAGAATAAAATTTTAATATTTTTCATTGGTTGGTGTTACGTACTTGACATCTTCTGGAAAATCGTTGATATTCACGATGGCCTTGTTCGTTACCGACAATTCGTCTGTAGGACATTTCGTTGCTCTTAAACGCTGAAAAGTTATAAAAGTGCATTAGTTAAATAGTAATTCGTTTTTTTTTTTAGACTTTTCTCAATTGTTATTCAACCTACATAAGACATTTTTGCCTTTACACAATAAAGCACAAATAACTTTCAAAAAAATTTGCTATCTTCTTAATTTGCTCAAGTATCCAGCCCGACTGCTGCTTTGGAGAAAATATCCAGGTAAAATAGGGGTAGTTGCTTGTTCTTTCACTTTTCTATTCCGAATATCGATCCATTAACAGGCGCAAGTTTGTATTTTTTTACAATCTGCAAAACGAAAATGAAAACTTTATAAAATATAAATATAATGCTAAGAAAAACAATTTGTTAAGAAACGCAAATTGAACTAATTACAAATTATATTTTCTTTATTTTATTGCCTTACTTTTTCAAATAATTATTAATTGTTCTGCTTTTCATAAAAATATTTTTTATTTTTTCTTGAACTATTATTTTGTACCGTTATATTTGTGAAAACTACCTTCTAATTTTCATCAAACAAATAAAAAAAATTATCAATAAATACATTTACTTCCACGAAACAAAATATAAATTAAATGGGCGACGCCATTATAATGAATTTTAAGATCCATAAAAATATTCTTCTTAATCACATCCTAATAGTTCAGCTTTTTACTAAAATGCGGATTGTTAACAAATTTTATTTAAAAACATACATTTTATTTTACAAATCTAAATATATTCGCAACATTGATTAATAACAATGATGATAATGACCACCCCCTATCATGAATAATATTTCTAGCATGCTAGAAAAATATCATGCTAAGTGAAGAGAACTGTCAAAGTTTGTTTATGTTTGAATTTTGACGCAACTCATTTTTTACGATACATATTTCAAACAAAATAGTCACACTATAAAAGACTACATGGCAATTTAAATGAAAATTTCAAATGCAATGCACCAAAGCAACTGGAACACTAAATTCATTCAACTTGACTTTGTGCGTTGAGCGCTTCTAACATTCAATTAATGAGACACCACGTCATAGTGCTTGATGATTTCATAATTCTGCATGTTATTAATGCATGTTGTATGATACACATTTTAAACTAAATAATTACACTATAGAAGACTGCATAGCAATTTAAATGAAAATTACAAATGCAATGCACCAAAGCAACTGGAACACTAAATTCATTCAACTTGATTTTGTGCGTTGAGCGCTTCTCACATTCAACTCATGAGACACCACGTCACAGTGTTTGATGATTTCATAATTCTGCATAACATTATATACAGATTATGCCTCACCGGAATCGAGGGGCTTGAATGAAATATCAGTAGAAATATATATGGTTAAAATTAATTAAGTAGATAATTTACTGCACCCACAATATTCAAGTCACTAAGATTCAGACACAAAAACTCACTTTTTGGGTTTGTTTATATATATATTCTGATCCCGAATTCTTCAATGTTATTTATTGATAATGCAGTTTATATCATTGCTCGTTTAACTTTTAGTAATAAAACACTTTTTATATTGATCTTAAAACAATAATTTTATTTACTGAATCAACATTCAACTGAAGAACTGGCAGCTGATTTCGATTTTGTGTTTTGCTACTGACATATGCACTTGGAGCTGCCACGTAGCCAGAATATTAAATTCCTCAAGTTATAAAAAAGTTTTACTTGAAAACTGCTAAACGTTTTTTAAGGCAATTAAAGACTCAAATGCTTTGGCGAAATTTATTAATATTTTAATCTATCTTATTTTTATGTTCATCATTGAAATTTTTCAATTTTTTTCACATGTAATTACGTCGAGAATATTGCGATGAACCTTGGTAGCCATGTTGTGAAGAGCTACCACTACCACTTGTTCCTGGTGGCATTGGTGGCACATTAGAGGGATAATGTGAGTTTGCATTTAATGATGGAGCGCCCCAAGATGAAGCAGACGCCATACCATAAGGTCCCATTGATGGCGGCATCGGCGGTGGTACAACGCCTCCAGGTCCAGCTGGGCCACCGTAATTATGCCCCGGTGGTTGTGGTGGCGCTGGAGTAGCTGAATTGTAAAGTGAATGCATAGGATGTGCAGTTACTGATGCTGTTGGCGGATACATATTGTGATAGGTTGAAGCCATGCCGACAGTTGGTATAGCTGCTGGTTCAGCTGTAGTTGGCGCTATTGGTACAGGATTGGCTAGTGATTTAATAGTCTGTATATTGCTAACTTCACCTACAGCTGGTATGGCCGTTTGGGCGGTTGTGGTATTGAAAGTTGTAGACGGTGGCGGCTTTATTTTACCCGCCGGTGAACCACTACTGGCAGTTGCTATGATTGGTTTTGTTGGCGTAGGACTATCTGCACGACTTGGTGGTTTTTGGGGTGGGCTGCTAGATTCCGGTGTTTCCTTTTGATTGGGTTGATATAGGTCCAGAACTTGATGACATATATCCTCTAGTATTTCCATTGTTACATCTGACACAAACATGTCCCACCAACGATTATGACTCGGTTGACGTCCAACCCAATCTGCGACAGTAAATTTACTTAGTTTACTAGCAAGGTGTATAAGTGCGACGGCGATAATCTCTGGTTCCCATTGTAGGCAAACAACTGTGCTTAATGAATCATTTACGAAATTCCAAGCCATTTGTACCATTTTTTGTAATTTAACTTGATCGCCACGAAAACATTTGGCATACTTTAGTAGAAATGTGTAAGGATGTTCCACTTGTAAGTCAAATTTTATTGTTTGCAGCAGAATGCGTTCTAAAGTCATGACCTCCTGTTGTAAGAAATATTTTGAATGATTTGGAAATAAGCATAAATAATTAATATTTAGACATACACTTACCTCTTTAGGGTCCTCACCAAACGAATAAAAATAATTATCCGATAATAAGGTCCTTGCTATTTTTATAATGTCCCGGCATTTCTTTGGTGTTTCTTCAACTTTGCCGGCGAGAAAAAGGCAACAGCAAGCGGTGACATACCGTGGAAAACTTTTAAATGAATGAAACATATAAAAACGATGAAAATACACTACACCAGTAGCCATTGTATTGTGACCTAAACCCATTTGAGTGCCACAATTCATAATGAAGCGTGCGCCCTCTTTGCGATAACGACGTTCCGTCTCAAATGATATGCCGTCCAATATGGAGGGTGTATCACGTAACTCCTTTTTATCATAATACCAGCAAGGCATTTTGTTCAAATATGCATATAAATTATTTCTTTAATGAGTTATCTAAAATTAACACTTTTCGGCCAAATTTCGGCTTTCCAAAATATAGCAAAGTGTTCACAAAAGTGACAGTAATCTGTTTTGGTACGAAATGTCATTCGATACGATGACGTTGTAAACACAGAGTCGTAACTGCATACGTTCTTAAAGAAGTGACTTAGAAGATTTTGTTACGAAAATTGTAAATCAAATAAAAATTTAAGACGTAACGCTTAATAAACAAGATATATGATATTTATGTCGCTAAGAAATTAAATGTATTTCTACTGCACTTTCCTACTGAAGTCAAGATTCATAACACAAACATAGCTGGAAATCGGAAACAGGTGGCAGTTAGTTTTTTTTAAAAAGCTAAATATTTAAACCTTGAACTGGATGTCGTAAGAAAATTAAAAGTCTAATCGCATTAAAATTTACACATTTCCAGTGAAGAAAATCGTAAGGAAATCAGATATCTTCGTAAATAACCAGCCAAATTGTTTTAAAAATAAACTTTTGAAAAAAAAGAAATTGAAATTAAAAAAAATTAACAAACGTTAATTAATATCCTTTTTCTTTTTCACATTGAAGTGAAATAAACTTTTACCAAAAGCTCGGCTAAACTTTAACAAAATTTTGTTAAGTGAAAGACATGTTTTTTTTCTTTATTTCGGATTTCATCAATATCTTGCTTTGTTGTTGATTATTTTATTTGTATATAATTTAAATTCATAAAATTGAATATATTAAGTTTAAAATATAAGTAGATGTATAAGTAAAAAAATGTGTTCCACATAGCTTTTTCATAGTTGGTATTTTCATCATTCCTTTGTTTCTATAGTTTAGTAAGTTAAGTTACAATAGTTTAGTTTAAGTTAGGTTTAGTAGAAATGTAACTAGGTTCGTTATTCATCAAATCAATTTTCCTCTCAGCTTTACCATTTTATTACATTTATGTATGTATATATATATATATATATATATATTGCATATATATATTGTGATACATATGATTCATTTTTAGCTTTTAATAATTTAATTTTTTGTTACTGTGTAATATTATAATCTTGCTGATTTCTCTTTTAAAGAAATTGTTTTTTTTTGTTTTAATTTTTTCTGTATGTATTGTATGTAGGTATGTACGTAATTAAATTTTATTAAAGCCCCAATACGGAATGAATTGTTTTTTCTATTCTTCATATACTGATTTCTTTCAATTGCAATTTCCTTACCTTGGTTTTGTTTTCATTTCTTTCTTCTTTATTTTTGTTTTGTATGTATGTATTTATTTATTAGCTTTTGCGCAAAACATTTGTTGCTGTAACGCATTTTTTGCCTTCAAGGTTTATATGCCTAAATTGTTGGTAAGAGTTGGAGAGTAGTAAGTTGGTAGTTTGTAAATTTCTTTTTTTTTTTGTGGTTTTGTTAATTATGAATGACCTTAACGTACTCGGTATTGTTGTTAATATATATGCATTTAAATGTAATTGGGAGTAAGTTTACATACAGATGTACGTGCATGCTTAAATGTGTAGATAAGTATGTAAATACTTGCAAATACATATATATTTTGCATAATGTATATTTTTATAACCATTTTATTTTTATGCAAATACAGTGTGTACTAATGTATATATACGAGGTGTGTTCAAAAAGTATCGCGAATTTTGAATTTTTCGCGGGTTACGTATAATCGAATTTCGATTTTTCTGTGGCGTTACGTTGGTACTCATGTCTGTCACTTATGCCAACAAGCTCGGCCAATTTGAATGTTCACTTAATTGGCATACGGAGAAGCTACCTTGGACCGAAGCAACGTTTATCGGTGGTACAAAATGTTCTCAGAAGTCCGAGAAGATGTGAACGACGAAGAGCGTGCCGGACGCCCGAGCACTTCAACAACAGACGAAAAAATTAATGAAGTGGAGAAAATGGTATTGGCCAATCGTCGAATCACCGTTAGATAAGTTGCTGAGGACCTAAACATGTCGATTGGCTCGTGCCACTCGATCTTTATGAATAATTTGAGCATGAGACAGGTCGCCGGGAAATTCGTACCAAAATTGCTAAATTGCGACCAAAAACAGCACCGCTTGAACATTGCTAACGAGATGATGGATGGACTCTGTCCGCGACGACCAAAATTTGCTCCAGAGGGTCATAACTGGTGACGAATCGTGGATTTATGGTTATGACGTGGAAACCAAAGCTCAATCATCTCAATGAAAGCTGCCGCACGAACCAAGCCCGAAAAAATCGATCGAATGTGAAAGTTTTGCTCATAGTTTTCTTCGATTGCAGGGGCGTTGTGCATCATGACTTCTTGCCACAGGGTAGAAATGTCAATAAGGAATATTACCTGCAAATTATGCGCAATTTGCGCGAAGCAATCCGCCAGAAACGCCCGGATTTGTGGAAGAACAAAAATTGGCTTTTGTACCACGATAATGCGCCTGCTCACACATCGTTGTTTGTGCGCGACTTTTTGGACAAAAACAACACACTAATGATGGCGCAGCCACCGTTTTCCCACAGATCTGGCCCCCGGTGACTTTTTCTTGTTCCCTAAAGTGGAGAGGCCCATGAAAGGATGTCGTTACGCTACGATTTACGAGATAAAGACGGCATCGAAGGAGGAGCTGAACAAGATAAAAAAAAAAATGATTTTTTAAAGTGCTTCGAAGATTGGAAAAACCGTTGGCACAAGTGTATAATATCGCATGGAGATTACTTTGTAGGGGACAAAATAGATATTCATGAATAAAATGAATAAATAAATAATTTTTGATAAAACACAAAATTCGCGATATTTTTTGAACACACGTAAATTTGTATGTATGCTTTTATGTGGTGAAGTTAACGGTGCGAATAGGCTTTATTTAAGTAGTGAAGTTTTAATTATTATCGCTAATATTTTATAATTTTCTTGTTTTTTTTTTTAAGGAAATTTTGTGATATTGGTGTTGTAGTGTTTGTTGTTGTTGTCCCAATTTGTCAATGCTTGTTTTATTTTTAATGTTTACTTATCTTAATTAATAGACACTTAAATGTTAATTAACTTTATGTTGGCTTACGAATTAAATTTATATAAAGGTTTTTCTTTTTTTAATATTTTTTTTTTTTTCATTTTTAGAATTGCTTTAGTAGGCAAACGCTTTTTGTAAATATGGAGTTGCTGTGTTTTTTTTTTTTACTATTTTATAAAGAAGAAAGATGTGGAAGCCAACAAATAATATTAGTTAAGGGTATTTTTTAATATAAAACCTGCAACATATGTTGAAAACAATAATTGTAAGATCAAGTTATAAAGGAATTTTTCAACATTTTTACCATTCAAAGCAAGCACAAAGTTGTTGCAACTAAAAAAAAAACTAAAAAAAATCGATATAAATTACACTTCAAGATCCTTTGAAAGACAAAAAATTAAAAATATAGAAATATGGCACAAACTATTACAAAGAGTACAAATAATTGATGGCGTGAAAACAAAACAGTTTCCGAATTAAATCTGCTAACTTTAGTACGAAAAACAATTAACTAAATTGATATTACTTTCCTTTACTGCATGCGTTATAATTGAACAGAAATATTTTTAGACTTCAATTTTATTTTGAATTTTTTTTATATATGACTAAAGCAAATAGAAAGCTTTGTTTCAAAAAATCACTGCCAAATAAAATTTAAGGATCTCTTTTAATTTTCAGTTGGAAATATTTAGTATATACCTATGCATTTACACTAATTAAATATCAATTGAGTTTCATATATATATTTTTTTTTTTAATCTTGGACAATTTTTTTAATAACAGTCAAAAGCAATTGTGCTTGTAATTAAGTTTATGAAATTATTAAGAAAATATCGAGTAAATATATATTATTTATATTTTATATTTATATATATATATTATATTTATGCATATATTGGTATGCATACATATATAGCAATGTGATTGTGATATCTGTTGATTTTAGAATTAAATGTGCTTGCTAAATGTTTACAATGATTAATTTTTTTTTTATCATAAATGATCTCTCCATATCTTATTGTTATAATTACTATTAATTATGTGATTTTCTAATTTTCTTTAATTTTCTCATTTATTTTGTAATGGTTGTTCATTTCTTTACAGTTCTTTCAAATATTTGCTTGCAATTGGTGTTTATGCAAATTTTTTGTTTGCTTCTTGTAGAACTTTTTAATTTGATGCATTCTTTAATGAATCACTTTCAATATTGCATATAGATTTTTTTTATGCCATTTTTTTTTTTTAAATATTTGCTGTTGTTTTTATTTCCTTCAGCCAATATGTTGCCTTGGTGCTTTTTAATGATTTGCTTAGGAGCGTTTATCTTTTTGGATAATGATGTTTTGAACGAAATTTGTGAAACTTTTCCTTTGATGCAAGAAAGAAATTTAATATTTAATATAAAACAGTTTGCCAATTAGATAAAATGGTGCCTTTTTTGTATGGGAATTTTCTATATGTATATAGTTTATGTGTTTAAATTATTAACTATTTTGATGAAATTCATATAACAGTTACGTCTATTTTAACAAATTAAGTGAGGTAATTAAATTTTGAAGCAGCATAAAATATTTAATCCTACGCTCGTGTGCGCAGCATACAGCTCTTTTTCGTATCATATTTTCTGCATAATTATTTTCTCCTCTGCAACAACAATTCGTCATATTTCATTAATTTTATACCCGTATCTTTATTAAATCTGAAATTTATGCTATTGAAAAATGTTATGACTTAATTTTTAAACTGTTAAAAACATTTTTATTGCTGTGCATATGTTAGCAAATTTTGAATATTGTATATAACAGTGATATTTGCATATACATATGTATGTATGTATGTATGTATGTAAGATAATTGATATTTAACTATTAATAATTCTATTTACAAGGTGCGCTGCTCATGTATTATTAGTATTATTTCTTTTTTTTTGTAATTTGCTAAGGGGTCTTTAAAGTATGCCATATGGTTTGAAATTTATTTTGCGAAGTTTTTTTTTTTATTGTAAATTAGTTGCAAGTGAGAACGATTAGTGAGAAAACGCTTGTAAATTTTTGTCTCTGACTGTATCGTACGCTCTCAAAATGTTTGGCGCAATCGCTAATGACTCTTCCCTTACAATTCCTTCGTTTATAGTTTTGCAATTCCAAAGTGTAACAATCGCAAATATTTGCGAGTGAAAATGCGCTTTATACCCGCTGAACAGAATTTTCTATTTTGATTTTCTTAAAATATTTTTACTTCATACTTATACTGCCTGTTACTTTTTTCTTTTCCTTTTTTTGTTTTATTAACACCATGAAATTTGATGCTGCAATCTACAACTTTATCACTGTTTAAATTACATACATATTTTAAATTTTCTATTAATTTATATTAATTTTTTTTTTCAATAAAATAAATTTTTCGAGAATTCATGTTTATTAATAATTTCTAGAATTAAGTTATTTAGCTAAAACACTGCTTATCTCATATTACATATTACATAAGTACATTTTTACTTGTGTAAACAGAAAAATAAAAGTTTAATAAACTTGTAAAAAATAATCTTAAATGTTACAACAATATGTACTACAATTCACAATTTGAAATTCAATTAAAAATGTCATGAAATAATAACGGTAATAGTAATGCAAAAATTAATTAAAAATGTAATTTGAGCAAAAACAAAACAGCTTGTAACAATTATATACAGCAATAACGTAAATGTAAAAAAAAAAATAAAAATTTTACTTTAAATTACGACACGCAAAATGTATTTGTTTTATTCATACGTACGTATGTATATTTTTGCGAACCTTTTCTAATAATTTAAAAGTTTTTTTTTTATGTTTTTGTTTTGATTTTACCTGCGTTCTATTTTCAAATTAAATGCGCACAAATGCTTTTTGCTTTAAATATTAACTATACATATACATAATTATTTATAATTTACTTAATATAGCTTTTGAAATTTAACAAATTTTCCTCTAGCTTGCCATAAAAGTAAAGACAATTCTTAATTAATTGGTCTTAATGTGATTTTGCAAAGGAAAACACATACACAAACTAACGGTGATTTTTTGTTTTTTTTCTCATTTTATGTAATATTAAAATGCATTAAAATATTCTAGATCCTGCAGCGTTATTCTCAAATGTTTATATATATATGTATAACTTTATTTATATGTATTAGATGTATTTTGTTGTTTTTATTTTGTAATTGAATTTTTTATGCTCACTTTGCTTAATTAATTACTATTTAATATACACCTATATATATTTATATTTTCCCTCATACCCATTATTTGACATCTTACTTTGCAACATGCACAAACGAAGTGAATTTTAAATTGCTTGAAGATGTAATTTTGAGAAATATCTGTATGTGTCATACATTTATACATATTTTAGTTTTCTTACTTATCATAGTGTTAGAAATTAATTTTATTTTTGTTTAATTAGTGCTTAGCATATTTGGTTTCTCATTCTTAATGTAGTATTAATTTGATTTGGCGTCAAGTGAATGTATTTTTTATGTTTTTTCGTTTTTTTTTTTCTTGGTTACTTTTGTGACACAAAACACACTTAAAAATATACATCCGCTTTCAACTTTGATCTTGAGTACTGCTCGTTTAAACTATTGCAATATTTATTTGTTTATTTTAGTTAATGTTTTTTTTTTACTTTTTCCTTTTTTCTTCTTGGCTGCGAGTATATGCAAAATACATACAAATTATTTTTTTTTTATTATACAGAAGTTTTCTTTTATACATATAACTAAAGAAGCAAACGATCGTTTTGGAATATACATACATAGGTTATACGCGTGGTCGAAGGCGATGTAGTCGAGGTAAAAACACAAAATTGTGTTAATTAATTAAACTATTTTTTACGCTTCTCTTAAATCTCGACTAAGTTTTATTGCACTCAAATGAAGTATTTAGTGAAAAAATAACAACTGTAATCAATTAAATTAAATTAAAAATAATACACAGTATGTAAATTAGTTAATTTGCACAATTTTCTTGTTTATGCATATTTTATATTATTCAACAATTTAATTAGCGAAATGTGCCCTCAAGTTGTCGCCACCGATTTAACTATTGTTTTTGTTTTTAACATATTCTTCCCCTTTTACTCCGTTTGATTTTAATTAAATAATTGTACATATACATACTTTCACTATAAATATTTTAAATAAGCATTTAATTATTTAATTTCAACTTTATGCTTATATTTACATCCAAGATGCTAGAAGGGTAAATCGTGGTTTGGTGAGCATGTGCTAAAAAAAAACTGTTCACGCTTTGATTTTTCATTAAAAAGTTGTTAATAAATATATTTAACTATTAAAGAACTCTCTCTTTCTCGCTCAATGCGTTGAGACCGTTATTTCATTGGCTAAATTTTTTTTTATAATTCTTTATTCATTGTCTAAGTTAACAAATGTTCCCATATGTGCACTTCATATTATGTAAAAGTTCTTCTATAAGATATTCTGCAAATTAATTTTCTATTTAATTAAGGAATGCGGTTTTCAACGCATAAAATATTGTTGAAGAATAATCAAACAAAAATCTCAGACAATCGTATGGGAAAATAGAGCATATCTAATAAGAAATTATTTAAAAAATGTGTATTCCAAGGTTAAAGAGAGATTTTAAAACTTTGAAAGCAAATAGTGCGGATAGAAAAACAAACTTTTCTTGGCGTATAACTAAAGTTATTTACCAATGTGTGTTGATAAATGTTTAAAGCTGAAGTATCATACTCCTGGATATTCCTATAGCCTTGAAGGTTACATTTAAAAGTAATTTTATGGAAAAAAATTAAAAATACCAAACTGAATGCCATTTAAATAAATAAAACTCAGGAATATAATAGAATCCTTATTTTTTTATATTTTTTCAAAATTGCACATAAATGTAGTATGAGTACATTATTATGTAGGTCTTAACTTAATATAGTTGTATTATAAAAAAAATTCAGTAATGACTGGCATATTTATTTGTAATTTGATTTTCACAATATTATTAGGATACAACAATCAAAATTTGAAAGTTGCCGTTGTAAGTGCTGGGCTTAAATGATGGTTTATCTTCTTAAATTATTTTATATATTATCATTTATTCATTATTAACTTTAAACTTGAATGAATTAATAAATGGTATTTTAACATGTTACATAATTTAAGTGCATTTCACATTTGAACGAATTGAATTTTCAAAGTTTCATGCATTCCTCTACTTATGCCGTCTAACATGGCTCATTCGCTATTGCATTATGAATTGTTTATTACTTACACATGCACCTTAGACTAATTACCCATTATGCGCAGTTGTACCACCTTGACTATTTATATGCTCTTCACTGGGTGTTGGCGGTTGGTCTCTTCGCGGTGGCATACGCTCATTGACAGCATCCAGACCCTTGGCTTCGGCGAACGAAGTGATTTTGTGATTTGGCGAGAAGCCTTGCATCGCATTCTTTAGTGACTGTTTGCCACCGGAGAGTGCACCCAATGGTAATGCACCGGTGGGTGTGAGTCCCTTTAATTGCAATACAGATTCACTGAGAATACACGTGCCATTTTACCGATCGCACGTATCTTATTGCGTATAACTTCTTTACGTAACGCCGCCTCATCATCAGAGAGAGGTTCTTCACTCTCTTCGGTCATGAGTTCATCATCCGAGCAAATGTTCAATACATTCACCAGCATCTCAGTGACTTTCTCACCTACGAAGGGCAATGACCATGTGAATACGTCCATAAAGTTGGGAAGCCAGTAAGGATGTGGAGAACAGTTGAACTGTCTAATGTTCATTACATTATTTTCATACTTCAATACTGCCGCCTTATTGTTGTAAACATCTAAGTAATTTGGTGCTGAGAAGATGGTTATTAGCGATGGGAATCCAGTTGTTTGACTTTTGCGATACATGCGATAGCCGGCGTCCTGCGCCTCGTGCGCACGTATTATCGATAATAAATTGTTGTTTTGCAAGAAGTCACAGCAAGCTGCATAACTGTAGAAATATGAACAGCCCCGTACTGAGTTGTGCGAATAAAAGTCTGAGTTTTTCTCATTACCAAAATCTTCTAAAGGATCTGACCATAATAAATCACACATTGGACCGAATGCTGGCGGCTCTTTAAATCTATCTAAACGTCGAATATCCTCCAACTCATGAATTTCGGGTGACAATCCACCATGGACACACAGAAATTGTTGATTCATTAGTGCCGCGAGAGGTAAACAATCGAAAGCGTCCATGCAGGCATCGTATACACGCTCTGAATATTTAATCTTACATTCCTGTTTGAAAGTGAAGTACTCTGTTAAGTGACGGCATTCGTGATTGCCACGCAGTAAGAATAATGTATTTGGATACGTGATTTTCAATGACCACAAATACAAAACACATTCAATACTAAAGTAGCCTCGATCCACATAATCTCCAAGGAAGAGGTATTTAGTGGAGGCTGGTGAACCGCCAACTTCAAATAATTTCATAAGGTCATAAAATTGACCGTGTATATCTCCACATACGGTCACTGGCGCCTCAATGTCTATCATAGTTTTTTCTTGGCGCAGCAAAGCAGCACCCTCTTGAATTATTCGTAATGCAGGTGCCTCCTCTATACGACCTTCAAGTATGAAATGTTGTTTTAATATGTCATGATTGGGTTTTCCAGTACGCATATCAAACACCTCTGCCATGGTTAGCTTATGGCTGGGTGGAAATGGAACATTATCAATTATACGTTCTTTTGTATTAACAGCAGGTGTTTTCGCAACGCGTGTTGGACTATCTGCCTGCTCACCAGCGGTTGTTGTACCACTACTAGCGCCTGAAGCGGATTGATTGTCTGTTGGAGCATTTCGTTGATCCGGCACTGCACTAGTTGCCCCACTGGCAGATGAAGTTGCGGAATTTGGATTGGTGCTCACACCCTGCGTAGCGGCTGATTGATTATTCGAAGACATTTTTTTTTTTCTTTTACTTACAGAACTGTTTTTGCTTATGCTCCTAAAAATACAGATGCTCGAAATTCGAGCAGTTGTTATTTTGATCACTACACCACTATATTGGAGGTCTTACCTCTGAAAAGTTTATTTTCGGTGGTGTATGAATTTGTTTGGCTCAAATTTTACTTTGCCTGCGTAATTTTGATTTTTTTCGTGTTTAGCGATGTTTCGTTTTTTTCTGCACTGCTTTATTGATATTCCTCTTTTCTTTTTTTATCCATATATTCCTCTCTAGTTCGCTACTCAACCACTTTTTTCTTGCACTATCTCCCTTTTTTCACTGCTTGCTTGCCTTGTACCTGTTTTGCCTTTTTGACTGCTGCTCGCCACTGCACTACTGACTGCTATTTGCCTTCTTTTTTACCTATCGTTTTATTGCACTCTGCCCACTGCCAGGTTTTGCAAAAATTTCACTTTACTTCACTGGCTGTTGTATTGCTTTTATTTTTTATGATAAATTCATCATTGCAACTTTATTTAATACTTTCACTATTTTATATAATTTCTACACGGTTTTTATCAAATTTTGTGCTAATTTGCTCAAATCCTAGTTGGAGAAAATTTTTTCATTTCTTTTCTATTTGACAATCCAATACTAGAAGTGTTGCGTGGTTGTCTCTTAATACTACAGAGTCGCATGCGGTGTTAGTATTTAATTATAAGGCTAGTTTCACAAGTAAATACATTTTTAAGTGCGAGAAGTCAGTATTTTCTTCTTATTAACAGACCTTGACAGAAGGATATAATGTTTTCCTTGGTATTAAAATTTATCATTCAGTAAATTTTGTTACTATTTTGTATTCTGAGTTTACTATCACCTTGTAAATCTTGTTACCAGAAATAGGAGATAACAAAAAAATCTGCTATTGTTTTTGGGTTGGGTTGGGTATTTAAGGCCTGGAATTCATTGAAAATGAAGAAAAAAGGGCAAAAAAGCGGATGTCAAGAAGTTTGAGAGAAAAAAATTACCCTTTTAAGTTGGAAGATAGTGTTTTCATTCAGCTTTTTTGTCGTTTGGACATATTTTAAATAGTTAGGCTCCATTATTTATGGCTTAATAAACAAATAAATAAATTATATTTACTTTGTTGCGCACCGTCTTCCCTTTTGATTGGAATGTTCTTTTTTTTTAATTTACTAACCGGCAAATGTAATTTGACAAGGACGAAAAAACAGTGCTGCCAAAGTTTTGTCAAACAATGTAACCCATGCGCTAGAATACGAAATTCAACTACGAATGTTAAAAAAAGTAACACTGAGCATAGACTTGTAAGGTTAAAATTGCATTGCATTGAAAATTTTAATGTTTGGATGCTGAAGGAATATACAAGCAGAGGCGACCATTAATAGCCGATTACTATGAACCCTATATCTTTCATTTGTTCTATATGTTTTCACCAAAATTTGTTAAAATGGGGATATACCTATAAGTAGAGCTAAAAAGAGGTGAAAGATTAGCGGAAGATTTATGGCTCTCTGTGTATGAGATATTCGACGATATAGACATTCATGCTAAGTCATATAGTACGAGTACGTACGAAACAGTCCAGCCCTGAAGGTATTCGATTCAATACCCGCTGGTGAAAGTAGAGAATCCTCGTTTTCCTCCACTCCGTTATAAGAATCAAGTGGAGAAGGATCTGGTGTAACTTGGAGTCGCGATTGTCACCGAAAAGCTAAAAGAAGAAATGAACTGTGTGCTATTGTTTATGAATTCCATAAGTAGTGCCCACAAAAGAAGATCCGGTCAAAGGATTCACTATCACTACAGTCCACAAAACTTAAAACTGAAGTAATACCCATTTTAATACATCTCTATTAATATTGGAGTTAATACTCAAAATTATAATTTATTATATTGGATTTTTTGCCCGAAATTGGGATTTGTTGTGTGTTCTTTGTTCGCAACAATTGTAGAAACAATTTTCAGCGGCATAACTATCTAAGAGCTTTTAATACTTGTGCAAATAATAATTGATCTGAGTTGCATTTCCTGTATCACATTACCATGGGTGAGTTCCAAAACGTCAGTCGCAAAGCAACCATACATTGTTACGCATTCCTAAATGCAACTGAGCCAACTTTGACGATTTATCATTTTCCAAAATGCATCGGTAAGGTTATTGATGTGCAAACAAAAGCAAACTGCGCATCGCTAAAGTTTGTGATACTTTATTTTATTATAAATTCTTAACAGCCCAGATGGGAGAGCAAGTTTTTTGCGCTCATTATTTTTTTTTTAACATTATATTCTTATTTTCTTGATGTCTTTTATATTTTAGCCGTTTAACCGAAAAGCAACTTATTTGCACGAATAGCGTTCCAAAATTTCAGAGTTTGCAAAGTATTGTGGCAAGGCAAGTTTATAGAATGCAGGGTTGCATTGTAATGATGCAGTTGCGAAACCACATCATTACAAAGTGTTTTGACGTTCTGGAATTCGCCCTATCTTTGTCTTTTACTTACCGAGCAACGCAATTCAATATGTCGAACTTCAAGAACCCAGAATATTTCTCTTTCTCTCTGATATTTAATAAAAACCCAAAGGAAAAAGTTTATATTAAAAATATATCTTTTGAATTACTCGAACAGTTTTGAGACATCAAGATTCCGTTTGTTCTTAGACTCAGCTTAACGCCTGCACATCAAGATTTCTACAAATCATTTTTGGCAATTTCGCGACTTGAAATCCCAATTACGCTTATCAAAAAGATAACGAAAGTTCAATCTACTAAGAAAAAGCTCTCCCACCGACCTCGTTTTCTTTCTTTGATCAATTGAGGCAAACTTGAAGTGCATCCATCTGCGCATTCGTAGGTCTCAAAAGGGATTTTCTTCTTCTGGTACTCATTGCTAAATTTGTTCTCTAATTCTTTTCAAACCGCTATTTAGTTTAAGGGACTCTTGGAGCAACGCAAGCACCGCGATGTGGGAGCAAACGCCTTATATACGGACCGCATAACAACTAAGTCTCCAACCAGTAGTTAGCACCTTGCTTTATTCGTTTCTTTTACGTTATTTTTGATTGAGTTAAAACAAATGTTTGAAAGGAAATAAATAAATGTGCGCATTTTATTTTAAGGATAGGTACTTATATTTTGTTTTGTATCTTTTTATTATTTTATTATTTTATTCATTTATTTCTTAATTTTTCTTTTTCAGTTTCATTTTTGTAGTCTGTAAACGTTTGGTTGTTTTTGTTATAGTTTTGTTTAATTCAAATAACATTGATAATTTGGTTTTGTTACTTAAATTTTAAAAATTTTATAAGGGATTGCATTAAGATTTGTATACCATTGAAAGGTAATTAATTTCTTGTTCGCATGTATATTTTATATTTCACTATTGGTTGCCTTTGTTTTTATTCAATAATAATAATATTTCTTTTTGCATTGTTTTTGATGCTTTGCAATATGCTTTGGATTGTTTTTTAATTAGCTATATTTCTTCTTTTTTACGATATACGTAATTAATATGTAACTTTTACAATAAAATTGAAAATTTTTTAAGATTTATCTAGAAATGAAGACGTGCTCTCTGCTACTTTTGAATGTTTTTGAATATATGGCTTTTTTGTAATATTTTCGTGTTCACCAATAATGAATTCCCTCACTCAAACTAATCTTTTTTTTTTGTTTTGAAAACTCTTAACGCTGCATTCGTAAGTGATTCTTTACACCGTGTCATTATTTGGCGAAAACACACTCTTTAGTAATAATTTCCTAATATGTATGTATGTAGATATTATTTTCATATATTTTATACTTTGATATCATGTTAAATGTATGTTAAAGTTGTTGTAGATTTCATGTAAAAAAAAAACGATCAGCTGCTTTTTTGGAATATTAATATGTTTTTATGTCGTTTCAAATTACGTACTTATATGCTTTATACTGAATTAAATTGAATTATTAAGAAAATCATATTACTTTTAACGAAGTTACTAAAATATCTGAATTGATTTTTATATAAACAGATAATATTATCCAGTTATGTCTACTCGGAAAGACTGTTCACTTTCCCGCTTTGATTATTACGCCTTTCTCCAATATCTTAATTCATTTTTAGTTCTTTGTCAATTTGTTGAATCCTTAGCAGTTAACTTGCTGGTATTACGGTTTCGTGCTGGTAGTGTGAACAAGGCTTTATGCACACACCAAAAATGTACTAAAGACGAAAGCATGAAAATTTGACACTTTCAACGAAAGGCAAAGTAAAGTAACAAAAATTGTTTGCTATTTCCGGTTAAATAATTTTAATTTCCTCTAAATTTAATATAACTGAACAAATTTAGTTATGCTGTTAGTTTTGATGAAGTAAACATTGTAGAGACAATGTACATAAGTAAATCAGTAAGATAAAATTCAGTGACAATAACAAAAATATGTGTGATCAAAGAAATCTACAGCTAAATTTAAAGTGTCATTATAAAAACTGATTCATTTGAGATATTAATGAGATTATTGGAAGTAGTGTAGCTCTGAAGGAAACATTTCCAAACATAATTCTTAATTAAAACGCTTTTCACAGGTATTTCACACTGTTGATAATCGGCGATCATGCTATTAACCTTTTAAAAAGTCTATATGCAGTCATGTATTTAGATTTATATCGTTCTATTTATCAATCTAACGGAAATCATCAATCAATTTCCCATGTATTTCGGAAATTTCGAGTTAAATATATATGTAAAATTTAAACAATCGATCAATTTTGCAAGTTATTGACTTATTTGTATAAGAAATGATATTATGCACAATTATACCAAAAAATAAACTAAAACAGGCACACATATAATTTTGAAAATATTTATATATGTATGTATTTACTTGGTTTTCGCAGCGCTTACATTTCTAAAATTTCACTACATAATTTTTGTATTTTCGTGCAATTGTTTAAACTGTTGTATTTTTGCTGTACTTTTGGGCGATATTTAAAGTTATATGTATGCATGAGTACGTACGTATTTTTCTAATTTAAGTACTTCAAATTGCTATATGTATAAGTTTTATATTATATTTAATAATTATTAATTAATGAAAAAGTATGTATGCATGTATTTTGTTTTCATTAAATTTGCATTTACTTTGCTGATTGTGTTGATAACTTCAACAAATTTGTTTGTTTTATTTTGCAAATATTGTATATAACTTATTTAAGTATTAAGTAATTTTTTTTATTTATTTATGTATTGATTTATTTAGCTTTAATCTTAATTGTAAATTCACATTTCAGTTATAAGTAAGTGTAATATTATTTAATAAATTTTTTTTTTTAGTAAATTCTTTATTTTATAGATAGTTACAAATCGCTTACATAGAAAGAAAAATAAACAAAACACGATAGTCTATTCATTGATTAACAATTAACTAAACATTTTTAATGCGATATTCTCACAATTGGTTAACAATCATTCTTTTGGATTTAATGTTAATATTATTTTATCATTACTATGCATATTATATGTAAATATTAATTTGTAGATCAATAGATTACATACAATCATTATAAAAATACCAAAAATAAAAATTGCTAAGCTTTATGATTATTTCGAGATTCTTCTTCGGCTCGGTCTAAGTAATTGTTATTTAGATAGTTAGTAAAGTTATCAAAACAGTTAGAGAGAGATGCAGAGATAGAGAAGAAAGAGAGACATAGTATGTACGTGTACGTGTATAGATAGAAGTAAGTATGGATCGACAAACTTCTTACATTAAAAAAAAATTATGTTGAAAAAAAACTTGATGTAAATATCTCATAGATACTAAAAACTCATTGGTTATAATTTCGCATCCCTGACAGTTAGGAGTTAACACAAATTTCTCTTTCTTTTACTTGCTTTACCTACATGTTAACTAATATATTTATATATATGTATGTATATATATATTTATACATATGTTACAATAATTCGCTTTACAAGTACTTTTTAAACGGTTTGGGCATTTTTGTAAAATGCTTATGACTTAGATAAAATATTATATGTTTGTATGTAAAAGATATGACCGAGCGAACAGAAATAAAGGCAGCAATTACATATATGACTACAATGAAGATGGCACGTATAAGACCACAAAACGATCACCAGATGAGTGTGCACGGCGTTGACGCGTGTGCTTTGCATTAGCCCATTCCTATCACCAAACGCCCTCTTACTATCTAACATGCATATACGCTGCTGTACGTATGCATGTACATATGTTTGCATCGTATATGAGCGTATTATTATATGCTTGTACTTGAAATGTTAGCTGGAATATCGGGAACCATCAGAGTACATGGACCGCCAATGCTGTTGGGCGCTTGGATTTGCCCCAAATGCATATGCAGTTACAGCTATGTGGAATAAATCCGCGTACGACCGTGCATCGAAAGAAGGACGAGATGAAATATAATAACGACGAGATATATATTAAATTTACTATGAATTTCTTACATTTCATTTTACTTTATACTTCAATTTGTTTATTTTCTTTCTTCCTTTTTCTGAAAGTTTATTTGTTTTCTTTTGCTATTTTCTTTCCATTATACCTTTGACACAACTCCACGATTCATTTAATTTGTATTTTGTTATTTCATTCCTAATTGTTTTTTCTTTGCATTTTAACTTAAGATTCAATATCTTCGCCCGGCTGGTAACTCTAGCGCTGGTTAATTACCCATAGTACAAACACAATTTCTTTTCCTTAAGCAACGTAACGTTGCTTTCAGCCACTGGGCCTACATACTGACTTACATCATATCTACTAAAACACTATGGACTTAGAATTATCCATTGATTGCATTCGCATTGGCGTTGGCATTCGCTGCTGCTGCGGCAGCAGCTGATAATGACTTTTGTCCCTCCTCTGCTGGCGATGGCGTCGAATCACGTCGCGGTGGCATACGCTCATTGACAGCATCCAGACCCTTGGCTTCGGCGAACGAAGTGATCTTGTGATTGGGCGAAAAGCCCTGCATCGCATTCTTTAGTGACTGTTTGCCACCGGAGAGTGCACCCAATGGTAATGCACCGGTGGGTGTGAGTCCCTTTAATTGCAATACAGATTCAGATTCCTCTCGCAGCACTGAGAATACACGTGCCATTTTACCGATCGCACGTATCTTATTGCGTATAACTTCTTTACGTAACGCCGCCTCATCATCAGAGAGAGGTTCTTCACTCTCTTCGGTCATGAGTTCATCATCCGAGCAAATGTTCAATACATTCACCAGCATCTCAGTGACTTTCTCACCTACGAAGGGCAATGACCATGTGAATACGTCCATAAAGTTGGGAAGCCAGTAAGGATGTGGAGAACAGTTGAACTGTCTAATGTTCATTACATTATTTTCATACTTCAATACTGCCGCCTTATTGTTGTAAACATCTAAGTAATTTGGTGCTGAGAAGATGGTTATTAGCGATGGGAATCCAGTTGTTTGACTTTTGCGATACATGCGATAGCCGGCGTCCTGCGCCTCGTGCGCACGTATTATCGATAATAAATTGTTGTTTTGCAAGAAGTCACAGCAAGCTGCATAACTGTAGAAATATGAACAGCCCCGTACTGAGTTGTGCGAATAAAAGTCTGAGTTTTTCTCATTACCAAAATCTTCTAAAGGATCTGACCATAATAAATCACACATTGGACCGAATGCTGGCGGCTCTTTAAATCTATCTAAACGTCGAATATCCTCCAACTCATGAATTTCGGGTGACAATCCACCATGGACACACAGAAATTGTTGATTCATTAGTGCCGCGAGAGGTAAACAATCGAAAGCGTCCATGCAGGCATCGTATACACGCTCTGAATATTTAATCTTACATTCCTGTTTGAAAGTGAAGTACTCTGTTAAGTGACGGCATTCGTGATTGCCACGCAGTAAGAATAATGTATTTGGATACGTGATTTTCAATGACCACAAATACAAAACACATTCAATACTAAAGTAGCCTCGATCCACATAATCGCCCAGGAAGAGATACTTGGTGGAGGCTGGTGAACCGCCAATTTCGAATAATTTCATCAAATCATAGAACTGTCCATGTATGTCACCACACACGGTCACTGGCGCCTCAATGTCAATCATGGTCTTCTCCTGCCGCAACAGTGCAGCGCCCTCTTGTATGATACGCAAGGCGGCTGCCTCCTCGATACGTCCCTCGAGTATGAAGTGTTGCTTAAGTACATCATGTTGTGGCTTACCGGTGCGTGCGTCAAACACATCGGCCACAGTTAATTTACGACTCGGCGGAAACGGTACACTATCAATGACGCGCTCCTTAGTCGATAGACTTGTCTTTTTGGTGGGGCTTTGTTGAGATTGCGTATTTGAATTTGCACCACTGGCGCCGCCATTACCCGTTGCCCCATTGCCGCCGCTCACTTTGTCATGTGTATTGTTGTTGGTCGCAGCTGTGCCACCAGCGCTACCAGCCGTCGACTGTTGCTTGCCATTTTGTTGCGCCACCGGCTGATTGCCCGCATGCTGTGTCACCGAAGACATATTCTATACTCTTTGGGTTCTATTTAAATTCGCTTTGGTTAGGCGCTGTGAATTTGTGAGCGATTTGCCAGAAACTGTCTGCGGTGCGGCTACTCTTAGCCGTCGCTAGCAGTGGTAATGCAGAATTTGCCTGTAAAAATAGAGGGAAACACATAATAATTTTAGTTTTTACATTTAATTTTGCTCAAATGCATTATTTGTATTAAAATAATAATTTGTTTCTTTCTTCGCCGACGAAAATACAAAGTATAAATATGTCATTAAACCAACGCAGACAGTTTAAATTAAATATATACATATGTCTGTACATAAATGTATGAGCCATAAACCGTAAAATTTGCCACGACTGGCGACCAAGCTTTGTTTCAGTGGGACCCATAATTACTACTCTTGTGGTATAATTTGTATATGGATATACATATAATGATTATATGAATTATACATACATAAATATTTCTCAAAATTATCGCACACATATACTAACATACATATGTACATGTAGTTTTTATATTTTCATTAAAATTAAATTTTGCCGATAAGGTCGAGTGCAATTGTGGTTCGTAAATTACTTTCAGCAGAATTTCGAAATCTCTGCAGCGCATTTCTTTAAATACAGCAATTTGTGGTTGTGCAACTGTACCCAGGACCCCAGACGTGCTAAAAATGGCGGTTTGATTAAATAAAAGCAGTTGCTTTTACCAAGCCCCAAAATTACATAGCGGTACTACGAAGAAACTTTCGTTATGAAACTGCGTTAAAAAGAGATACTGAAATCGGGTTTAAAAGGTTTGATAAAGAGAAGTGTTCCCATGAGTACAACTCTCGCAGTTGTATAAGTATTGGGTTGCCCAGAAAGTAATTGCGGATTTTTCATATAGTCGGCGTTGACAAATTTTTTCAACGGCTTGTGACTCTGTAATTGCATTCTTTCTTCTGTCAGTTATCAGCTGTTACTTTTAGCTTGCTTTAGAAAAAAAAGTGCGCGAAATTTTGATTACATTTGTTTGTTTGGCGTCAATTTTAATATCGAGCCCACAAATGAGCATTTTCGTCATATTTTACTTTATTATTTCCGTAAAGGAAAAAACGCGGAGCAGGTTGCTAAAAAGTTACGAGATGTGTATGGTGATGAAGCCTTAATTGAATTGGATCGTCATGTAACTGAGCGAGAGATAGGAGAGAAGTTAGATATACCAAAATCCACCGTTCATTATCACATGAAAAGTCTTGGACTGTTGAAAAAGCTTGATATTTGGGTACCACATGTATTGAAAGAAATTCATTTAACACACCGAATCAACGCTTGTGATATGCACCTTAAACGCAATGAATTCGATCCGTTTTTAAAACGAATCATAACTGGAGATGAAAAATGGATTGTTTACCAGCTCAAACCACTTCAAAGGCTGATATCCACCAAAAGAAGGTTATGCTGTCTGTTTGGTGGGTTTGGAAGGGTGTCGTATATTTTGAGCTGCTTCCAAGGAACCAAACGATTAATTCGGATGTTTACTGTCAACAATTGGACAAATTAAATGTAGCTATCAAGGAGAAGCGACCAGAATTGGTCAATCGTAAAGGTGTCATATTCCACCAGGACAACGCTAGACCGCACACATCTTTGGTCACTCGCCAAAAACTGAGTGAGCTTGGCTGGGAACTTTTGATGCATCCACCATGTAGCCCTGACCTTGCACCATCAGACTATCATTTATTTCGATCTTTGCAGAACTCCTTAAATGGTCAATTTTTCGGCTATGATGAGGCTATAAAATCGCACTTGGTTCAGTTTTTTGCAGATAAAGGCCAGAAGTTCTATGAGCTTGGAATACTAAATTTGCCGGGAAGATGGCAAAAGGTTATCGAACAAAATGGCAATTATATATTTGATTAAAGTTCATTCTAAGTTTTATTAATTTCTTTTAAAAAATCCGCAATTACTTTTTGGGCAACCCAATAGTATGTGCATGGCGTTGGACTCACCACTTCAATATAATATAACCTTAATAGGGCCTCCCTTGGTCGAGACTTGTTCGAGCTCCTTGTTCTTTGGTGTTCGCTAGTTTCCCTTTGCCATTCAACTCCCAAAAATATACTATCTCAACTCATCAAGCGTCCGATAGCAATGGTGTTGTGTTTGATATTTCTAATTTCAGCTTTAACGACGGCTTTGATAGGGAAGATTTATTTTTAACGCATGCTCTCTGAGCTGTCCTATGTTCCCTTATTTTAGGCATTGTCAAAAGTCTTCTGCTCGCCAAGTCCCTTTCCACACGCGTCAAGTCTTGCTTTCAAATCTGCTAGGCCGTAGACGAGAGAGGTGAGAAGAAAGGGAAGGGTAGTTATCTTGTCTTGCTTTTGACATTTTCATTGCGTTAGAAGTTTTCCCCATTTCGGTGTCAAAACGAGCGGGTAAACGAATATAACTTGATTTCCGTGGTAAGTTGAATTGTGAAAAATTAATACAAATTTGTACAGATTTAAGACCTCAATTTCAATAAAGTAATTGTTTGAGTATGCAACCCTGCACCAAAGCCAGCATCTATACCCGGAGATGTCGCTGCTGCTAGTACAAATACGTGACTCATCCCTATTGGGAAGGGTCCTGTTAATCAACGTTCCGTTACACCTTCCTTCTTCTGTGGAAGGTATAAAAAGCCGATGTTGCCGTTTTAAACTTCTCTTTTTTTGTGAAACCTCAGCAGCAGCAACATCAGGTAAGAATAAGGTTTTGAAAACCCCTTGTAATATGTACAGGTGCCCTTTTATTGAAATCTATTAAATCTATTTGTATTTGAAACTAAAAGTGTTCCTTCTTTTTTTTACTTGTTGGAGAAGGTTTATTTATTTTTCAGCTTGAAGATTGCCTGAAGGTTCGGCCCTATTTTACGATCCCCGTCTCCAGAATTCAGGAGGAATTCTGGCCCATCCATCCCGGCACGAATAGTAATCAAATAGTCCTGGCTCATCAAAATAATCCATGAATTTACATAAATTTTAAAATTCGATACATTCCCCAAATAAACTCCAAATGTCAAGATTTGACGCACGTTAAGTTTGAGAACCATCTGTCAAATCGATTTTTGACAGCGCCAGTAAATTTTAATTCCGGTCACGAAATTGAGTTTTGGAAAGAGAAAAAAACATAGTCATGTGCATGTGAAACCTGTGCCGATTCCTTGGTGTTTGTTAATTATTTGCCAGAAATTCCTTCAAAATCACAGCCCCGTTTGACGTTGGTGCGAAATATGAGTTTTCTTTTCACGAGGAACCTTCAATGCCATGTGCACAACAACAAAGTTTGCGTACCAGACTTATAAGCTCAAATCGGATGGCCAGTTACAACGACACATTCTTTGTGATGAATGTAAGGGGTGATCCAATGGCGTTTTTTTGACAGATCACGCGTGTGACAAGCTTTCAAGTTATTTCTGTTCAGTACTGTTTGGCATTTTATCATGGAAGGACTTACGCCTGAACGACGCTTACAAATCATTCGTTCTGTAAAGAACGCCCGTCACGCTCAATTGGTGGTCAATATAATCAACCCACTGAGCGTACAATTCGCAACACCATCAACCATCTTGAGACCCAGCAGTCATTATTGAATATCATTCGACCGAATAGACCACGTCCAGCACGCTGGAAAGAAAATATAGCGGCCGTACCTGAGAGTCTATACGAAGACCGTGAAGAATCAATTCAGAGCCGTTCGCAGCATATCGGACTGACGTATGGAACGACTTGGCGCATTTCGTGACGAGATCTTAAATTGAAAGCGTACAAAATACTGCTTGTGGAAGAACTGAAGCCGATCAACCTTCCTAAGCAACATCGCTTCGCTCTATGGGCTCTTAAAAAGTTCCAAGATTATACAAAGATTTCGAGCCAAATTTTTTTTCAGCAATGAGGCCCATTTCTGGCCCAATATTGCCGCTTTTGAAACGAAAAGCAACCTGAAGAGATTCAAGATCTGCCATTTCATCCAGTAAAAACAATGTTTTGGTGTGGTTTGCAGCATCATCGGCCCATATTTCTGAAAGAATAATGCCGATGAGCACGTAACCGTCAATGGTGACCGTTATCGTGTCCCTCCTGCGGGTTAGGGGTTCAAGAATCTACCCGCGGTAAAGCATGCCTATTGTAATAGGCGACTAAAATCCAATAGTTCCCGCGACAGTCGGGTCTTTATACCGGAGCGACCCGGAATTTTCACCCGGCCAAGAACGGTCACACCCGCAACATTCCAAAAAAATTAAATATGTATAATTGGTGCTTTTTAACCGCTGAAGCGATTGTTTCGGCCGAGCTTCTCCTCCAATTTGTGATTTTTTGCGTCTTGACGTTTTTCCAACAAATGGAGGCTCCACGTTTTTTATGAGGAGCATTATTTCATGTTGGGGCATATCCGAAATATGCTCGGAGAGCTGGACATTTCCTTCCGAGGGGCGACCGTAATTAGAAAATTAAAATTAATTATTATTTACATTAATATTCAATAACTTTTGGATGTTGGTAGCACTGAACCCGAGTCTTCCGAAAGTCAGTACATAATACTAAGCTACCGCGGCCGTCATTACTTTGAGGACTATTTTTACGGTTATAACAACAACACAACACCGTTATCGTGCAATGATAACCGCCTAAAATTTAAGCTCGTGATTTCGGCGAAATTTGATTTCAACAAGTCGGCGCCACTTCCCACACATCGCACCAATCAGTGGATCTATTGAGAGAACACTTCGGTGAGCAGCTCATTTCACGTTTTGGGCCGGTCGATTGGCCACCAAGATTGTGTGATATCGCACTGTTAGATGTTTTCCTGTGGGGATATGTAAAATCTAATGTCTATGCAGACATTCCCTCTTCGATTCATGACTTGTAGCAAAACAACACTGGTGTCATTCGCCAGTCACCAGTCGAAATGCTCCAGCGAGTCACCGAAAGTCAATATTTGAAAAAGATAATATTAAAAAAAATGCTTAAGATTTAATTTTAATTTTGTGTGTTTTTTCGAGTGTTTAAGACGACGACAAAGCCAAAAATACGCCTGTTTGTCCGATAAGTCCCGTTTGCTTTCGGGATCATTCCGTATTTCTTCATTAGTATCTTATAGGCCTTATGTAAATC